TGGCATTGACGATGTTAGCTGGTATTGACGATGTTAGCTGGTATTAACGATATTAGCTGGTATTGATGATGTTAGCTGGTATTGACGATGTTAGCTGGTATTGATGATGTTAGCTGGTATTGACGATATTAGCTGGTATTGATGATGTTAGCTGGTATTGACGATGTTAGCTGGTATTGATGATGTTAGCTGGTATTGACGATGTTAGCTGGTATTGATGATGTTAGCTGGTATTGACGATGTTGCTACTCGCAACTGCTTCTCCAGGTGTGCCCCTAGATTTATTGAATTTCGAGTCCCGCCTGCGGTTGCCTTGGCAGGGCCACCAAATGATTTCGCGGGCCTTTTACTGCCCGCGGGCCGGACGTTCCCCACCCCTGGTGTAGGGTATTGGGTTTGTTTCACGAGAATAAATCCTGTTTAGCCAGTTGTCCGACTATATTACAAGGGAGATCCGTGGTGCGTGAACACAGTAGCAGCAGCAACAACAATAAATCAAGACAAAAAAAACGAACAATATTGCAGAGAACGAGTGCAGGGGTCCGAAAGTATCATTGCACAACTAACGCAGTACGTAACGGTCGCAAGAGGCGCCATAAAAAGGTCGGTGCGAGCAAGCATTGTATTTTGGTCAAATATGAACATTAAGAGGGGGAATGAAGGGAAGGAACCAAGTTGTAGATGAGCGTCACATGTATTCCAGAAACATCGAGCAGCAACGCGGACATTTTTTGCCAAAGTTTTAACGAATCAATTTTGTGCACAGACGTAATAAACGAGGGTATCCACTTAATCAGACGCGAGGTTTGCTCTTCTCTGTGTTGAGGCGTAAATCACGACGACTCGGAGGCAGATCTTCATGTAGGGGCTTGCGCCAGTTGTTTTATTAAGGACTTTTCTTCATACACGACTCCGTGTACTGCACGCTCACTGCCTACACTCCACACCCCAGGGGAAGGGTACTGGGGATTACCTAGCACACCCACAGGCTACCCTAGCCTGGTGCTAATTTCCCCGTACCCCGGGGTCCCATCGCTCCCCCAGGGGAAGAGTACTGGGGAGGTCCCTAGCACACCCACAGGCTACCCTAGCCTGGTGCCAATTTCCCCCTACCCTGGGTCCCATCGCTCCCCCAGGAGAAGGGTACTGGGGAGGTCCCTAGCACACCAACAGGCTACCCTAGCCTGGTGCCAATTTCCCCCTACCCTGGGTCCCATCGCTCCCCCAGGGGAAGGGTACTGGGGATTCCCTAGCACACCCACAGGCTACCCTAGCCTGGTGCTAATTTCCCTCTACCCGGGGTCCCATCGCTCCCCCAGGGTAAGGATACTAGGGATTCCCTAGCACACCCACAGGCTACCCTAGCCTGGTGCTAATTTCCCTCTACCCTGGGTCCCATCGCTCCCCCAGGGGAAGGGTACTGGGGAAGTCCCTAGCACACCCCCAGGCTACTCTAGCCTGGTGCTAATTTCCCCCTACCCTGAGTCCCATCGCTCCCCCAGGGGAAGGGTACTGGGGAGGTCCCTAGCACACCCACAGGCTACCCTAGCCTGGTGCCAATTTCCCCCTACCCTGGGTCCAATCGCTCCCCCAGGGTAAGGGTACTGGGGATTCCCTAGCACACCCACAGGCTCCCCGAGCCTGGTGCTAATTTCCCTCTACCCTGGGTCCCATCGCTCCCCCAGGGGAAGGGTACTGGGGAAGTCCCTAGCACACCCACAGGCTACTCTAGCCTGGTGCTAATTTCCCCCTACCCTGGGTCCCATCGCTCCCCCAGGGGAAGGGTACTGGGGAAGTCCCTAGCACACCCACAGGCTACTCTAGCCTGGTGCTAATTTCCCCCTACCCTGGGTCCCATCGCTCCCCCAGGGGAAGGGTACTGGGGATTCCCTAGCACACCCACAGGCTACCCGAGCCTGGTGCTAATTTCCCCCTACCCTGGGTCCCAACTCCCAACTTCACACGTTCCTGGCTCCCCGCAACGACTCGAACACGTCACGGGTTCCAACCTAGATATCCCAGGGGGACATGATGTCACCGTCCCGCCCCTGTCCATGACGTCACCATATGTGACATCGTACCGGAAGGCGAGCGTGACATGACGTCACTAACTACTACTCTACATCTGTAAGAAGCCGATGAGCTGCTGCAGTCGCGTCCATAAAATTTGTCACCTAACCTCCCCTTTGCAGCCGATTGGCTGGTGGAGTGGGAGTTATGATGTAATCCATAGCAACCACTGACGCGCCGTCCATGTTTGCGGAACGGATGCCATGCGCCGAGGAACTTCGCATTTTGCACCACGCATCTTCGGTGCATACGAAAATCACTGTCTGATATGATGTTTATGTACTCAGGCCCCCGTCTAAAACCTCCAGACTTGAGAATCGGGTTTAATCGCGAGTGACTGAATCCTGTATTTTAAATCCAGGATTCTATTGGTGCTGGTGTCAAATGGCCCCATGACGATTTTATTCCTAACGAACAAAGGGGGGCCCATGTGGCACTGTGATGCCATGACCACGGAGCAACTCCGCAAACGCCGTGATCCCCTCCCGGACCCCGCACTAAACACACACCCGCACACAGCGCACCCACGTAGTGTCCTGACGGGGGGGGGGGGGGGGGGGGGGGGTTGCCTGGCACATTGGGTTTTAATCCGAAGGGCCCCTAAAGGGAGAGTCCCACGGTTTCCCGGTGCCAGGAGATTGGCCGACCCTCACGCAATTTTAAGCCCCTAAATTGGCTTAAAATTGTATGGGCACACAGAAACTCACCGGGCTAACCGCAATGAGAACGCTCACAGCACGGGGGGAGGGGCCAGGGGGGAAATAGCATGCGGGCGGCGCAGACGGGGAGGGAAAGCCCTGGACCCCCGCGGAGGCGTATTCGGCGGGACGGCAACACCGACCAAACCGCTTTAATCCGGAAGGGGGATGGCGGGCGCGTACACAACGGGTCGAGGCGTAACGTAAAAAAATGCTCCAGGTAAGGGCGGGACATCAGTTTGCTAGGCGCATGATTGGCTGCGCAGCGCGACATCCCCATGGGCCTTTGAAGTTAAGAGAATAAAGGTGGGAGCCCCGGGAACGTTACGCCTCTTGTCTTCAACCCCCGGGCCGTCGAGACCCTCTTCCTGCCATCCTGCCTCTTCGAGCCGCTCACAGCATCCGTGTGATGCCAGCGAGTGCAGCTGCGAGACAGTGACAGAGGTTAAGTCGTTTCTCGTCCTTCTCCCTACGACTCTCTCAGCGTCCGTGGGATGCCGTGAGTCCAGCTTCGAGGTACGTGGTAGGACGTTAGAGCAATTGGGTTTGTAGGCAGAGTTAGGCTAAGCTCTTCGCGCAAAGTATTTGCGCCGGTAATAAACTTTAGTTCAGAGCATCGGTGTAGTGTGACTTCTGTGTGTGGGTGGAACCTCGGCGCGGTGCTGGTAATTTGGGCGTGTGTGTGTGAGGCGCGCGTGTATTAAAATATACACGGCCGCCGACGCTCTCGCGTGTTTAGAAGCGCGCGCGTGTGTGTGTGTGTGTGTAAAAAACGAGCGCCTGCAGTGTGCCGCGTAATTAAGGCGGGGGCGGGGTGCGATAAACCTGCTCGCCGGCGTTTACACAGCGACAATGGCATTAACAGCGAGGCATGCGCGCATATTCATATCGCCGCCGGTCCTTTTTGTTTAGCGCGAGCCTTTGTGTGCGTGCAGATTTGGGCTTAGCCACCCGGAGGTGCGCGTGCATATTCATACAGCCCTTTAGCATTAGCCTTTGTGTAAAACGAGCGCCTGCAGGGCGCGCGCGTGCACGCAGCCGCCTTGATATTAGTGGTGTACGTGGGCGTGTGCGAGATAACCCCGGGCAGCGGTGAGCCAGCCACTTAGCTATGTCCCTCAGAGAGGGCGCTGGCGCGGGGGGGGGGGGGGGGGGCGAGCTTTAGATCGGCAGGGACCCGGCGAGAGGGGCCGAACGGCGCAGTGGAGGGGGCAAACGTTGCGCTCCACCTGCCCAACGAGGGCGGTGGGGCAGACGTTGGCCCCCACAGCACTCTTCCTTAGGCATCCAGGAAGCTCTGGGCGGCTTTGGTTCTTCACACAGTATAAACTGTCAGTTACAAGAAAGATCTTTCCCCAATTTTGGAGATCCAACTAATTGGATACCGGTTTGCTATGCAGACAACCTTTGCGGGGGGGGGGGGTCTTTAAACGATCTAACCCAGGGGTCGGCAACATGTGGCTCCGGAACAGCATGTAGCTATTTAAGGACTGCTTTTTTTTTTACAGAATTTGAAAAAAATGGCTCTTATTTTGGTTGCCGACCCCTGATCTAACCTTAATCCTCCCCTCCTTAATTTTGTTTTTCTTATTGGACGCAACAGGAAAATTGAATTAATGTGGTTATGCAAAAACATCTTGAAAGTTTTTAAGCACGATGTATTCATCGACACAATTCCTTTATAACCTTGCTCTCGTATACGGGGAAAATATATTAACTGCCAAATATTATAGGCATGGTCCCTATATTTGGGTCTTAGTTCACCGCAAAATACTATACATAACAAAATTATATTTCGCTTCATTGTGGAGACTAAGTAACAAAAATAGAAAAAGCAGACAATACGTAACCTCCGATTAGCACGGTTGGCTACGTATGGTGCAAAAGTTCAGTTCCATATCGCATATCAAATATTTTTACACAACCATCCGCTCCATGGCCTTCTGGGAGTGCATAATTTCAGCAACACTGATTCAAAACAAACTGGACCAGTTTTGAGCATCTAATCAATAATCAGGCTTGCATAAATCAATGCAGGTTAACTGCCAGATGTCATCAGCAAGGCCATCTGGCTGTAACAAGATGTTATAGGCAGATGTTATAACATATGGTTGTTTATCTAGAAGGAATATTTGCTATATGATAGCGTACTTATCTGGGGTAAGAAGTACCATGGCCAACTCAATTGTACTGTATGCATAAATGTGCTCAGAAATAATGTTACATGCAAAATTGCAACAAAATAACAAAGTTTAATCACTTTGATATCAAAATCACTCCAAAATGAATGTTCAATACAATGTATTTTAAAGTGTGCTTGCATACATGTAAATACATCATTTACTGTATACTTATTACAGCGCCGCACTCCAAAAATGTATAAATATAAATACAGCTATCACCAGTGTAGTAAAATCAAGAATGAGCAGATAAAAATAACACATTACACAGGTCAACAGAATTTTGGGAAAAACTAAAAGTTTACTTATGACATGTAAGCATGAAAACAAACTCCAAAGCCATCCATCCTACAACACCACACCAACATCTCACAATGCAACACCACCGACTGGAATTGCGCATTATTTTGTACTTCAAAATAGAATTGCTGCATATGCTAAATTCCAGGGGAAAAAAGGATATATAACTTGGAAACTATTTGTTTAATACTCAGTTCCACTGCGATTTTCGAAGAGTTCCATCAAAAGCGGTGAGAAAACATTTGTAATTATAATTTATGAATCTTGAATATTGTAATTGACAAACTTAGTTGTTCACACTATTAAGCTCTGAATTTTGCTTTATGGATTAATACCACGGAAGTAGGCATGTGACATCGAGCAGAATTCTATGTGAAAAGCAAATTCACTGGTCACTGCTGTTCGCAAAAAAATGTGTATTATATAATTTTAATGTCATATTTCCTCTGATTTGTCAGTAGTTTCCTGCCCTGCCCTCCCTTATATTTTCTGGCGTTTGCAGTGGAGGAAAAAAAACCTCAAATACGTTCAAGAGTTATCAGTACTGTAGTAATATCTGAGAATGTAAACCTAAAATACCATATTGAAATGATGACTTCAAAGTGAGGCATGTCCTGTGTGACTTCTGTTAGCTTTACAGCCATGGTGCTCAGTCAGCTGCACTCGCACACCTTCAACATCCTCATCCCCTCCATCACAAACCATTTGACACCCCCCTTGTGCCGTGCCATGACAAAACCTGGACTATTCATGTTACAATGTTCATTATGGCTTTGAGAGCCTAATAGCAGGACTGCTTCGAGATGCTCGAACTGCTTGGTAGCAAAGTCAAGGACTTTGTTTATTGTGGGAGGTGGTAAAAAGGTCCAGCTTTACCTTGTGAGCGAGCTTGATCACCAGAGTGCAGCCAACTGTTTGATGCAGGTTTGAAACCAGCATATAAATATTGTAATAGAATGTTCATCACACAGGACCATCTTCCTTAGTCACAAATTCTATCTAGAATTTTTTGTAGAATCATTGAAACTGTGCAAATGAATGTATTGTACATACCAACAGAATACCAGCACTACTTAAGGAGCGAAACATTGTGCTTTGATGCAACTCGTGTTGTACATAAAACAAAAGCTTCAGATAAACACCAATTCCACTGCCAGCTAGAGCTTTTTTATATAGAGAGTTTGTGACGAACAACAAATTTCCACAATTTTAAAACATTTTAAACTAAATGTACCATTAATACTTGTCAGCCAGTTAAAGGTGTATTTTTTGTATTTAGTTATCATAAACTTATTTTCCAAGTCTTAAACATTTTGATTTATCAAAGAGTTGTACATTTTTCTTTTTTTTACATAAAAGGCAAATTATTAAATCTACGCTTTGGCTTTTTATAAACAACAGCCAACATAACTTTGAGTCAACTCCATTGAAGCCTTTGTATATGTAAATTGTGATTTAGGATCACATAGAGCCAAGGTTGGTCCATAAAACCTGAGACCTTCCAATGAAACGTAACCATTCATTCCTGAAAATGGAGTCTCATTACATGGAACCCTGTGAGTTAGAGACCACATGTCTATAAAGACCAATTTACATGACAACTATTGGTGGTCATCATAACTGCAAATGTTATGTTATTCACATCCTATATGGTCTAAGATGTAATGATAGAATGCACAATTGTCAGAACCCAGAGTGGTACAACTGTATTTTCTCACATATTGTGTGCATGTGACTACATGAATATTCACATACATATGCAGAAATCCAAAACACTGGACATTCTGACAAGTTCCCAGAAATGTCTTTACCACATTATACAACACAATAAGGATGATCATGTTTTATCATAAGCTACAATGATTGGCATTAGTGCAAGCGACATAATGTAATTGTCACAACAGTTCAAGACATCCTGTAAAATACGTCACAGCACTGGAAACGTACGACTATGTTTAACTCATAATGCAAACACAGAAGCACAAAATACAATTATTTCTACATCTCATTTACATTGCAACCACAAACCTCTGTGGTGGCCGTTTGTGTTTAGTTCCTCCTGGGTGCTCATAGAGACCGGTGGAAAGATATATATTAGCTTTCCAAATGGCCACATCACACTGTTGTCATCAGACTGCCTGTTGAATAAAGCTGTCACCACGTGGTCCACATCTCCAGTTGGTACATGCTGTTCACAATTTATGAATGCTGCAGCCAGCACACCATCATGCAGCAGTGCAGATAAAAGCATGTCAAGAGCGTGCAAAAACGTAGCACGGATTTTGAGAATTTTTAGAAATTTTTTTTTATCCGCAATTGCACTAAAATGTATAGAGCAAGTCGAACAATTTGTAATCATTTATCACCCTTAACCGTTGTTTTACATATTAACATATTGGTTACAATGTCTGCCCTTTTGTAAAATGAACACATTCAACCAATGTCAAATTAACGTATTAAGTGTATTTTGGTTACAACTAATTAATTTGGTAGGGAATACATTACATTGGTTTTATAGAATCCAGTTAACTGTAAAATAAAACCACCTGTATATATTAGTTATCAAACATGAAGCATTTCCAAAAATAAAAATTGCAAGTGTTTTTTTTTAGAAACTTTTAACAAATCGGTCAATCTGCACCAATGTATTTTCAGTGCTTGCAATTATCCAGTTATACTTGGAGCAATTATTTAATCGCTCAGCTATCCAAGGGCACCACTGTGAAGAGACAGATTTCAATTCTGGCATAACCTTCGCCATGGTGATACACTACACTTGGAGGGCAACCCACAAACGTTTGCCAACAGCAAACACCTTACACATTTCGATACTTGGATCCCATATTTTTACAAATGATAAACGCAATTACAGTTTACAATATATGTAGCTTCATGAATGCTGAAACTGTGAAGGAATACCAAATGTTACATGTACAAAATCTAACAATAATTTTCCTAAGAAAACCGTTAACACAACATGAATTCCACTGAAATAGCTACACGCGTCAGTCCATTGGTTACTAGTTTAATGATGTATTAGTAGCAAACTGAGTTTTGGGGGTTAATTCTTGTGCACGTAAAAAGCCCTGTTTTCATTTAGTTTATAAATTGCAACTTTATGTAGTCATGGCTAAAAGCATTTTATCAAGTTGTCAAGACCAACGTTTATTACTTAAGCTACTTCTGAAGTTTGCTCTAAAGGCATCAAAAACACGCACACATAGCTTGTCACCAATCGCAAGTCTAGGAAAACACAAAGCCGGAAGTAATATTTATATGCACTGGACAGCTATACCAGCTGGTAAATAGCATTAAATTTAACGGTAAGAGAGAAGCCTAACAATTTAATCCATCTCGCTTGGTTTGAAAATATTAAGATGACGTTGTGACAACTGTAATCATAGGATTAAAACTGGAAGCTTATACAAAACAATCTAACCTTTTATTTGTTTTAATGTTGTATGTTGGTGACAGTTAAACCATCCGAATTCAGCGCTGTAATTAACATGCATAAAAGAAGCAAAAAAAGGACAAATAAAGGATTCCATCACACCTGTCCGTGAATGCAAAGTGGCCGTGCCCAGTAATACTGTACGCTTGGAGTTTAACAAGTGTAAACTCAGTCCTTATTGCTGGTGAGGGTAACACCATCCTGTGGCACCTTCCATGAAGCAAGCACTAAGCTGTGCCACAACAGTGCATTCCAACATTTTCCCAGGGCTCCCACGCATTACACCATGTAGCTTCAAATCTTGCAGATGATGGTTATGGCCTTGTAAACTTTTTTCTAACGATGTTTGATTCTTTCGCAGACGAGGCTTGTTTTCGATTCAAACCTTGTACTGTTTTATGAGTTCATACAAGAGATCACCTGAGATCACTATAAAGTGATCAGCTCTGGAAATTGGTATTTTCAGACCAGGAATTTGTGATTTTATTTAGGGCTCCAAGATTTATATCCAGTCCCAAGTAAGAATATCCAGCATGAAATGTCTCGAAGCCCAGCTTCAGTCCTTTTTTGACAAAATGTCTATTGGTTGCTCAATTACTAACATCGCAGTTTTGGCAACAAACACATTGAAAATAAACAACTCAAAAGCCAAGCGCAACACAAGTTAAAAAAAAAACTTGACAAATCAGCTGTTTGCATATGCAGAGTATATGTATGGGTCACTGCTGCATGTCAGTACAGTCCTGTTGATACTTCTTCAGACCAATTTCTGCCGCCACTATTCCATCTCGGAATGCACTTCAATGACAGTAACAATTTCGAGAAAGATACATCAGCGTCAGGGCCTGTGCTCTCGTAACCGTATTTCTACCACAAGGAGGTAAAAAAAAGGCAGCAGGAAGCACTGAGCAGTCCCAGAAGAGCTAAATATCTCTCCCATTTTGACACATTACCCCTTATGTAGGTCTGTCATCTGCAAGTGTTGGGAGGCAGTAGTCATAGGTGCGGCTGTGTTAAGGCGCACGGGTGAGGCCCATCCATCAGAGGATCACACAGCAGCGGCAGAAGCGGGCACGTGGCCCAGGGGCCACCTGAGGAGGGGTGCTGGGTGCAAAGTAGGCGTGTACCTTGATTTCTGGCAAATGAGCCTGTGGGATGAAAAAGTCATGTTGGGAATGCATAAAACGAAGAGACGTGTTTTACAATGAAAAAAAATTCCAAAAGTCTGCGTCATCGCATGCAATCAAATGCTGGGCAGTGGTAATTTCTGTTAGTGGTCCAGTGGGTGGAAATTAGGAATTCCTTTGGTTGAATTCATCCTGAAGCAGAGTAAAGATGATTTCATATGATGGTACACATTTTACTGACCTTGGACATATAGTCTGAGCCAACTCCACATGGCTTTTAAACTGTCAGAATGTAGCCAAAATGCACATATAGCAATTGTGTCCAAAGTAAAACATCTCCGGTTACATAAACCATACTTAACACTTTAATATTAACAAGATCGGATTAATGATCCAAGGGTTACCCACCCGCAGGCGTTTGATGCCGGCACGCGTTATCTGCTGGCAGTCGTAGAGCTCTACGCGTTGCAGGCTCTGGCAGCCCTTGAGATGCTCGAGAGAGGCGTCCGTCACCAGGGGGCAATTGTCCAGCTCTAGCACGGTGAGGCGCTCGTGTGAGCATGCCCCATTTCCCAGGTGCCGGATCCCGTCATCCGTGATCAGCTCGCAGTGAGAGAGGCTCTGCATGTGTAAACAAGGGTATTATTATTATTATTCACTTTGGAGTGGGGCTGGTTGTTGATAACTTCGTGTTCAACTAAAGGTGCTTTCGAGACACTAACCTGTAGGAAGGCAGTACAGAAAAGTAGAATTCTAGCAGGCTAATTGTTCTGAGTGTGAGTGTTCACCCTCACGGATGCATAGATTTTATCCAGGCATCCTAACTTTCTTCCAAATACACAAATACTCAAAGTGTTGGCCAAACATCTTGAGCAGCGCCCTCCTGAAAAAAGTCTTGGAGAATCAGTGGAGCTATTTGGGATAAAGAATTGTATGTCCATAATTGTTTCATTATTCCTGTATTTGTCATTACAATTTAAAACAAATTATTTTTTATAAACCTCCAATGTACCATCACAACTCATATCACCAAACACAGCAATCATGTTTCAAGACCACCAAACATGGACATTTACATTTTCTCTACATGTGTGTTGCATTACACATACCAGCACCTGCAGTCGAGGACAGTGCAGGGACAGCTGGATGAGTGTAGCATCAGTTATCTAAGAAATAAAGAACACGTAAGTCTCTACTCACCAGCAACACACACCTCAGCAACTTAATATACAAAAATAAACCTTGGCCACTCAAAACACACCAATACTGACGGTTTTATAGCTCCCAAAAAAGAAGTGTAACATGCATACAATATTAAGACATGTAAAAACAATGGCATATGCAATAAATAATTCTAGTCTTACCTGTCAGTTCACAAGTCTATAAAGTATGAATGAGCGAGCCTAATTGTGTGCTTTTCGAATAAAGGAAGAATATTTTTAATTGAAGATAAACCAGTTAAATTACATGTGAAAATAATTGATGCCTGTAGTTCCCCCGAAGCACAAGACCAAACACTACAAAAATCAAAAATAAAAGTGAGAAATTAATGAGAAAGACAAATCTAAAAAATGTTATTGAATAAAAAGAAAATAAACTTTGGTAAATACAAGTTCTGGGGAATATTATAGACACATTTGTAGTTGATGTGTAAGTCTTATGATTCCAGATCTGGAATTTTCATCGTAAAAGCTCCAACCACACTCTTAAAGAGTGTATTTCCTCTGCAGTTTGGCTATTACAATTTCCTGTGACAACGACTGGTTAAGCATTGCCTTTTCCCAAAGGTGCAGTGCATGCATAAAACAAAACCCAGCGCTATTTAAACATTATAGTTACGAATGTGAGGCTCTATTGTTGACAACAAAGTGTCCATAGACAAGAGGAGCTAGAGCATGCACAGCATTACACCAAACAATCAATTGTAACCAAAACAAATGCTTCCCTTCCACTGTTGCAACTATATTAAATGTCAAGAAAATAAAAAATATAGACTGCAAATATAAGCATCATCTCGTCTATTGAGTGAGTTGCCAGGTATGGTGCAACAACAGTTAAGGAAAAAAGCCACACCTGGATGCACTCTTCCAAGTCCATCTTCTCCAGGTCATGACAGTTCTACAGGTGAAGACATTTGAAAATACCCCCTTTAATCTCAACATTATTTCAATTGTATGCATGCCAGTCTTGTAATGGCTTTACTTTGATTTTTATATATATAATAAATAACAACATTCACCTTACCCTGGCAAGCATTTGAAAGCCTGTGTCAGAAAGCTGAGAGCAGCCGGCCACCTCCAGTATCCTATTGGTAATAAACACAACAGTTATTTACTTACCATTAAAAACAAATATAAAAACTATATCTTACACGTTTGGCTACATCTGCAGTATACGCAGATGCAGCTAAAAATGCTAATTAAGTTCACGTAACAAGTATAATTTAAATGGTGTTAAACAGCGCTCTTTGTAAGACAGAATCACTTAAGACATGCCTCATTGGCACAACCACAGCTTAGAATGCACTCAGATCCACTCCTAGTACCCGGATGTCCACCCAATCTCTAAAAACAGCCAGCACAACAACATTGTGCAAAGTGAACAAACGCACCGTAGGTGGTAGCAGTTGTGGCCAAGAGCATTGAGCAAGGCGTCGGTGAGTGCGTTGCAGCCTGACACGGAGAGAGACTGCAGCTTGTGGCAGCCACGGCAAACCGTTATGACACCATCGTCAGTCACACGCTGCACACACAGAGACAATGCAGTGCGCTTTTAAACAGGGTAATCTACAAGTTTTGTCTCAAAAAATAAATCCATTGTAAAAACAAACCAGACTACATGAAAGGGACTAATGACGGATGATTTGTCTGCCACATCGTGTATTTATAAGAGGAGCGCTTTCTTCTTGTCATTGGAAACATTCTAGTGTTACAGGTTGCTAAGAAATTGTTTGTTCGTTCCTTGCGAGGGTCCCAGTGGCAGCATGTTTATTAACGCAGTCCAGACCTCCCTTTCCCTGGCGACAGACTCTAGCTCTTCCTGGGGAATTCCCAGGCGTTCCCAGGTCAGCCGAGCGACATAGTCCTGCCAGCGTGTCCTGGGCCGGCCCCGGGGTCTTTGCCCAGTGGGACGTGCTCGGTAGGGTTCCAGGCGGAGTCGACCGGGGGGCATCTTTACCAGGTGCCCGAACCACCTCAACTGGCTCCTCTCGATCTGGAGGAGCAGCGGCTCGACTTTTGAGGCTCTCCCGGATTACCGAGCTCCTCACCCAATCACGGAGAGTGAGCCTTGCAACCCTGAGGAGAAACCTCATATCGGGCCCCTTGTACCGGCGATCTCATTATTCGGTCATTACCCAAAGCTCATGACCATAGGTGAGGATGGAAATGTAGATAGACCAGTAAATCGTGACCTTTGTTCAAGAATTCAGCTCCCGCTTCACTACCACGGAATGGTACAGTGCCCGCAACACTGCGGACGCCGTACCGATCCGCCAGCCGATCTCCCGCTGCCACTTACCATCACTCGCGAAAGAGACCCCTGAGGTATTTAGTATCCTCCACTAAGGGCAGCTGTTCCCCCTTCACCTGGAGAGAACAATTCACCATGTCCCGGGAGTGAACAATGACCTCAGATTTCGAGGTGTTGATCCTCATCCCAGCTGCTTCACACTTGGCATCAAATAATTCAAGTGCATGCTGGAGTTCACAGACTCACGAGGCAAAGAGGACGTTTATCTGCAAAAATCAGCGATTCCCCTGTACTGAATACCCTCCCCATACCTTGACTGCGCCTTGATATCCTGTCCATGAAAATCACAAACAGGAGTGGAGACAAGGCGCACCCTTGGCGGAGTCCAACACCCACAGTGAACGACTCTGATTTAACGCCAAGCATACGGACACAGCTCTCACTCCGGGAATAGAGGAAACAGAGAGCGCACAAAAGCGGCACCGGTACATCGTACTCTCGCAGCACCCCCCACAAGACATTGCGGGGAACACGGTCATATGCTTTCTCCAAGTGTACAAAGCAGAGGTAGACTGGAAAAGTATACTCCCATGACCCCTCAAATTTCTGAGATGGAAAAGAGCTAGTCCATTGTTCCACGACCATGACGGAATCCACATTGTTCCTCCCGAATCTGAGGCTCGACCACCGGGCGGAGCCTCCTCTCCAGCACTCTGGTATAAGCTTTACCTGGGATGCTGAGGAGTGTGATTCCTCTGTAATTGGAGCACACCCTACGGTGTGCTCCAATTACGACCCCAGTTTGCCTATCCTGAGGTACTATACCTGCTGTCCAAGCAACACTGAAGAGGCGTGTTAACCACAACACTCCTACACTGTCCAGAACTTTCAACAACTCTGAGCGAATCTCATCCACCCCAGCAGCTTTGCCATTACGAAGGCCTTCGACCACCACAGAGACTTCAGCAGCCGTGATGGATCCGACCCCCCCAGCTATTTCCAGGGATGCCTCCTGAGAGGAGGGCATGTCCGCCGGGTTGAAGAGCTCGTCAAAGTGTTCCTTCCACCTCTCGACTATCTCCTTCGTTGATATTAATGTTACGCCACTCTTACTGAACACAGCATGGGCCATGTCCCGTCAAACCCTACTCAGGTGTCGGATGGTTTGCCAGAACATCTTTGTGGCTGTCCGGTAGTCCCTCTCCATGGCCTCTCCAAACTCCTCCCACGCCTGGGCTTTCGCTTCAGCGACTAATGCAGCTGCTGCCCTCTTGACAAGCCGTTACCTCTCAATCGAGTTGGGAGACCTTTTTCCGAGCATATCTCAGGGGAAGCCTCCTTCTTTAACTTGACAGCTTCCCTCACCACTGAGTCCACCAGCAGGTCCTAGGGTTGCCACCATGACAGGCACCAACTGCCTTCAGGCCACAGCTCTTCGCAACTGCATCCATGATCGAGGTCCTGAACATCGTACACTCGGACTCAATGTCCACGACCTCCCCTGGAATGCAGGAGAAGTTTTCTGTACTGGGTCTTCCGCCAGACATTCCCAAAAAACCAGCACTTCGTTTGGGCCTTCCACATCTATCTGGTCAGTGACCAAAATGTCGGACCCAACTTACCACCAGGTGGTGATCATTTGAACGCTCTGCCCCTCTCTTCACCCGAGTGTACAGAACATAGGGACTTAGGCCTGATGATACAACTATAAAGTCAATCATTGACATTCTGCCCAAGGTGCTCTGGTACCATGTACTCTTCTGAGCATCCTTGTGTTTGAACATGGTGTTTGTTATTGACATTCCGTGACTAGCGCAGAATTCCAATAACGTCTCGGTTTCAGATCAGGGGGGCCATTCCTCCCAATCACGCCTCTCCAGGTATCTCCATCGTTTCCCACGTGAGCATTCAAATTGCACAGTAAGACTATGGAGCCAGTAGGCGGCACTCTTGTCGGGCACTGCACCCACCGCAATTCATGTTACCTACACCACTAAATGTGCATCAAATGCAATATGCAGTTTACATTCTATGTTACTTAAGATTCTGCTTTTGTAGAATGTGGTTTACAATCAATTAAGACCACAGATTTTTTTTCAAGTGACGTTTGACACTGAACAGTGCAAGAATGATGATGCATTTTTTTTACGAATCGGACTAAGGGCTGATAAAAAAATATTTTCCACTCTACGCACACTCCCAAAATGATTTATCCTTCTGGATCAGCCTTAACAAAATAACTTAAAATGTACGTTCAACTTTGTAACTTACCAATAAAGTATTAATATAAAAATTACTTTGTATTGCTCAAAGCATATACTAAAATATTCAGTCACATTCTAAAGCTAATTACAACATCCAACATTACTATTCATCAAAGCAAAACTAAAATTGGGCTGCTTTAGATTCATTGGTCATTCATTTTAATTTGTGCACATTTGACCCAAGATAAATCGAGCCTTTTTAAGCAATGCATAATGTACCATTTGTCCAAAAGGGTATTTAATGGCAGGAAACTATTTTATGCCAAGAGAAGTCCCCTAAAAGAAACAAAATATCATGTGAGGAAATAGGGGATGCATAATTTAGTGGCCAAGGCAGTCTAATTTCACAGACTGTTTAAATTTTTATGTTATTAAAATAAAGGGCATGTCGCCACAGTCGATAATTAAAGATTTTCTAATTAGGTTGTCCAAGTACATGGGGACAATGACTTATTAAGTTACGTCCTCCGAGGAAAGATCAAATAACAAAACATTTACATTGGATAATATGCATATTTTTTCAAGTAAAAAATCACAACTCCCTAAATTAGAAAACAAATAAAATAAGTGACAGCCCAGAAATTAGGACAATAGACTCCTGACTGCAGTGTCATATATATCAATAAGAAACCTACAAATACAAGTAACATATTTTTATTTTAAATTATACAAAAAATGGGAAATTCTATAAACCCTTTTTAATCTTAATTATAAAGTATAATTAACAGGTAAAGGCTTGAGTACATTTATTCCAATCTGTGTTAAAGCAATAGCCCAAGACATCGTTGAGGTTACATTCCCCCCACCCCCCCCCCCCCCCCCCCCCATAATTTACTGAATATAAAATACTTATTTAAATAACAGACAGAGATAAGTTTGCTGTGTAATAACAGTTACTCTCCCGAACAGTAGTATTTCTCTTTTAATACTTAATAGAGGCTGCCTCAGCCACGCTGAGCTGGGAGGCAGGTCGTCTGTCAGACGTGGGCATGTGACAAGCATGACATATGAAGGCCCAGGGGCGCAGTGCTGGGGAACGTGGGGAGGTGGGAACCTCACCGAACAGTTCTGCAGGTTGAGTGTGACCAGCTCAGGGCAGTACTTGCCTATTTGCTTCAGCGATACATCATTCACCTTTGGAATACACACGACAAAAGCAAACATTGACAGATGATGACAAAGTAGCTTAATGAGCTCACCGCAGCATACTTTACGGTACAGACCTGTGCATTGTAATTAGCCTTTGTGAACAATGTACCTCAAAATTACAATTTACAATTTGGATATATATAGTGCCTGAACGTGTCCACATTTCATTTTGCTGCAGAAAAACAGTGAGCATGTATATTTTACACAGCGGAGCAATCCCTTATTGGAAAAAAAGGAGGGTCTTGAGCCTTGATTTAAACAGAGGCGGGAAGTCAACAGGACCTATTGCTGGTGGAAGGGGGCAACCTCTCACTGACTGAAGACCCACTGGCAGCTCACAAAAAGCCTGTGATGCAGCAGCAGTGTGTGTGGGGGAGAGTGATATGGGATGAGAGAGTGATACAGTGGAGAGTCCATGGATGATTTTGAAGATGATGTGATCTTGAAACTGATCAGGGATTGGATTTGGAGACAGTGGAGGGATTCAAGTTTTGGAGAAATGATCTCATTTAGGGGCAGGGGTGAGATATCTAGCAGCAGAATTTTGGATCATGTTGAGTTTGGAAATGAGGTCTCTTGATGGAACCGTAGAGGAAAGAGTTACAATGGTTGAGTCGGGATACCATGAAGATATGGTTGAGTCAAGAAATGGCAGATGTTGCAAAGATGGAAGGATAAAGTTCTGCAGAGTTGCGATATGTGGGAAGAGAATGAGAGCTCAGGATCAATAACAACTCCATGTTTCACACACTCTCTGTCACTGTAATATCCGTTCAGAAGATGCACGTTAAAAGAAGTGTTTATTGAGAGCAGACTTGTTTTCTGATAAGTACTTATGTTTTTGCAACATTAGCTGGAGAAAGTTAGAACTTATCCAAGATGAAATCAAGTGGAGGATGTGAGAGTGGACAGCGAGGCTACACGCTTAGTCAATGGAGATGTAGAACTGGGTTTCCTCGGTGCAGAAATTATGATTGATGATAAATCTGGTGAGAAATTTTCAAAGAGGAGATATATGAAGAATAGCATGGAACCAAGAATAGCATGGAGCATTGTGGGAGATTTCCATGTATGGAATTATACATTGAAATTTTCAATAGGTAAGAGTGGAACCAGCGGAGTGTGCTGCGTACGCCTACATAGTTATGAAAACACTCAAGGAGGATGGAGTGGTTTATGTTGTCATGAAAACTAGGACAGTGATCAACAGTTTGCAGAGGGGTCATTCACTGCATATAAGAGAGCAGTTTCAGTCAAATGGCCTTAGAATAAACTATATTCATGGGTGATGAAGACCATGGAAACCATACATATGCAATATGCCGTTTCTTATATGTTGCACAACATATAAGATAATACTTCGACAATATCCAAAGTATTTTGCAAAAGCAATGGTGCAGATTTTCAATGTTTACCTCAAGTAAGCAAGTAATTGAACTGCTGCAGCAGAAATTTGGCTCACCATGTAGCAGCCTTTGAGCAGAAGCACTTTCATGGAGTGACATTCCCTGGCCAGAGCAGTAATACCGTCCTCTGTCACTTGGTCGCACCATGACACGTTCAAATGCTCCAGCCCTTTGCACCCATCACTGACACAAATATGTATACAAGTGTACATTTTTTTTATGGTATTGAATGCTTTACTACAAACAATTAATCTAAAATAAATTTTAACATATTGTCTGAGATATTACTTTATAGGATGATTAGGTTTAGCTGCTAAATAACACAAATATCCCAAGTATAATTGAGACTCAACATACATTATCCAGAAACACTGACACCCACCACATTCTGTCCACTAAAACCTACAAATAGACATGAATATTTGAATGCCCTTTTCTCATACCAATGGACTGCATTGGAAGCCTGTGGGCAATCCCCATGTGTAATGGCCCAAAGGCAACGCGATGGAAGGTCATGGCAACTCAAAGCCACCGCAGGTCCTCCCACGGAGACTGGGCCTGAAGTCTGCAGCTATGCATGTTGGCCATTGCCTGAGAGCCTTGAGTGAGTGGTTAGTGATGGCCGTGCAGGAAGTGAGGTCCAGCTGCTTCAGCTTGGAGCAGAACTTGCCAAGGCTGGCGCACGTGCTGCACACGCAGTCAGTCAGAGTACTCAACAGGCAAGAAATGCATCTTTTCATCACCCCCGAAATAAGTAGCGCAAATGTACGGCTCACAAAATAAACGCTGACAAATTAACAAGTTTCCCCATCATGGGACCTCCTTTGCCAGTACCAAAATATGAGAATAGGTTGTCCCCTTTTTTCTGGCAACAAAACAGCTGTGTTAAGATATTAGAACACCAAACTGAAACCTTTTATAAGGAATCATGTCTGCATTAACCACAATACTTGTGGTCAAAATGCAAACAAAAAACACACTGATAATATATGCATTGTCTTTGAAACATAACTCAAACGGTCGTCTTCACACCTGAAGACGACCGTTTGAGTTATGGTCAAAACGTCGTGAGAATTTTTTTATTGTTTTATATATATTTTATTATTTTGTTGTTTCTCTTCAACGTGACTTTACCGAAAAAACTAAGAATATCTTAACACCTGTTTGTTGCCAGAAAAAAGGGGAAAACCTATTCTCAAGTTTCCCCATTTTTGAATTTGCATGTTAATCCATACATATGCAATATCTCTCACAAGAACTGAGAATATATGAAAAATCATTTTTACAAATGTTTTCATTGTAATAGAATAAATAATGTACAGCTATTTGTCAATGCAGTTATAGATGTAGTTCTCTCCCCAACATGTCACTCACAGGGATTGTTTGATTATACTTCATCATGCTAGTCAGTGCAGGGGGCACCAAGGACTGGTTCAGTTATAATTCACCACTGATGTTAGCCTTGGCCAGGAATCAAATTTACACCGCCGAGTTCATTGCAGTGCGCAAACCACTCCCATCGGTTTTAATTTCATCAGTAAGATTTCATTTTTAGAGTTTTTACCACAACAGAATGGGTTACTCTCATATCTCAGCATCTTAACGTAAACTTATAGCTACTGATAAACTCTGATAATGTTTTCCTATTCACCTGTCTACCTTCTCTTCTCACACAGGTATGTAACATTGAATACTCTTAAGTGACAAATATTGTTATGGGTACTTCACCTTAAAAATGTTAACCTCATTGCATACATATTTGACACAAGTTTTTTTTACAATTATACAGCTATTATATTTACACATTTTAAATGACTGAGCACCTATCTGTTACATAATGCTTGGCTGAAATTGCTCATGCTACAGTGTACATTGTATTGTGACTAAATTAAAGAGCAGTTGAGATATGCAACTGTGTATTTTCGCTTTTTAGCATATGTTGAATCATTACCAATATGGAAGGTGATTACTATAGCCTGGTGATAGGTAATGGGAATGTGTGTTTTCTTCAGGAAGACCAGTCAACTTACTTGTCTGTAATTTTTGTGCAGCCGTTAAGACTGAGTGTTTCTATATTCCTGCAGTTCTGCGAAAATGTCCTGCAAAAGAGCACGCCAAGAAGTTAAAAATACACAAAGAACACTTTATACACATAACTCTGTGCAACCGAAGCGGCAGTGGCATCAAGCATCACATTTATGAAATGCAGGCAAGCAGCAGTTTAAGTATGTATGAGAGAATTACCATGGTACAACATTTAAAATGCAGAAATAAATCTGCATTTTACCCTTTTGCAAAATATTACCGTAAAGCCAAAGTTAATAACTTTAAAATTAGTTAATAAATCATTGATGGTTCTAGAAATATGGCGCACCGTACGGAATTCACACGCCATCAATCCAAGATGTAGCGGCAGACATTTTAGGTCAAGAAAATGTAATCTCCACATCATTAATGCAGAATGGACTGAAGCTATATGATGGATGTGACAAAGTTTAACACTTTCAATATTGAATTAGCCTAGGTATCGAATGAAATTAACAGCATCAATCAAGACCTCAACCTCAAAATGCATACAGTGTTTGGGAAGATGGGGAGAAGCAGTAGAAAAACACCCCAGTCAGCAGGATGAACTTTCGTGGTTACAATAAGCACATGAAGCACAATGCAATAAGAAAACATATAGGAACACCGCTGTTGTAAATCAACCAAACAAATGCTCGTATAATGATTCGCGGAGGATTTAGCATAACCTGCCAAGTATCACTGCTCTCAAATTGAATGCAAACTTGAAATGTTCAGTGACACGTTATTTGTTTCAAAGTACTGAACACATTGATGTCCAAAAGAAATAAAATCTGATTTTTGTACATAAGCTTACCATGCCTGCTGGGAAAGAAAAATGTGTGGCAAATGTACATACAGTGAGGGAAAAAAGTATTTGATCCCCTGCTGATTTTGTACGTTTGCCCACTGACAAAGAAATTATCAGTCTATAATTTTAATGGTAGGTTTATTTGAACAGTGAGAGACAGAATAACAACAACAAAATCCAGAAAAACGCATGTCAAAAATGTTATAAATTGATTTGCATTTGAATGAGGGAAATAAGTATTTGACCCCCTCTCAATCAGAAAGATTTCTGTCTCCCAGGTCTCTTTTATACAGGTAACGAGCTGAGATTAGGAGCACACTCTTAAAGGGAGTGCTCCTAAGCTCAGCTTGTTACCTGTATAAAAGACACCTGTCCACAGAAGCAATCAATCAGATTCCAAACTCTCCACCATGGCTAAGACCAAAGAGCTCTCCAAGGATGTCAGGGACAAGACTGTAGACCTACACAAGGCTGGAATGGGCTACAAGACCATTGCCAAGCAGCTTGGTGAGAAGGTGACAACAGTTGGTGCGATTATTCGCAAATGGAAGAAACACAAAAGGACTGTCAATCTCCCTCGGCCTGGGGCTCCATGCAAGATCTCACCTCGTGGAGTTTCAATGATCATGAGAACGGTGAGGAATCAGCCCAGAACTACACGGGAGGATCTTGTCAATGATCTCAAGGCAGCTGGGACCATAGTCACCAAGAAAAGAATTGGTAACAAACTACGCCGTGAAAGACTGAAATCCTGCAGCGCCCGCAAGGTCCCCCTGCTCAAGAAAACACATATACATGCCCGTCTGAAGTTTGCCAATGAACATCTGAATTATTCAGAGGACAACTGGGTGAAAGCGTTGTGGTCAGATGAGACCAAAATGGAGCTCTTTGGCATCAACAACTCGCCGTGTTTGGAGGAGAAGGAATGCTGCCTATGAACTCAAGAACACCATCCCCACCATCTAACATGGAGGTGGAAACATTATGCTTTGGGGGTGTTTTTCTGCTAAGGGGACAGGACAACTTCACCGCATCAAAGGGACGATGGACGGGGCCATGTACCGTCAAATCTTGGGTGAGAACCTCCATCCCTCAGCCAGGGCATTGAAAATGGGTAGTGGATGGGTATTCCAGCATGACAATGACCCAAAACACACGGCCAAGGCAACAAAGGAGTGGCTCAAGAAGAAGCACATTAAGGTCCTGGAGTGGCCTAGCCAGTCTCCAGACCTTAATCCCATAGAAAATCTGTGGAGGGAGCTGAAGGTTCGAGTTGCCAAACGTCAGCCTCGAAACCTTAATGACTTGGAGAAGATCTGCAAAGAGGAGTGGGACAAAATCCCTCCTGAGATGTGTGCAACCTGGTGGCCAACTACAAGAAACGTCTGACCTCTGTGATTGCCAATAAGGGTTTTTCCACTAAGTACTAAGTCATGTTTTGCAGAGGGGTCAAATACTTATTTCCCTCATTAAAATGCAAATAAATTTATAACATTTTTGACATGCTTTTTCTGGATTTTGTTGTTGTTATTCTGCCTCTCACTGTTCAAATAAACCTACAGTGAGGGAAAAAAGTATTTGATCCCCTGCTGATTTTGTACGTTTGGCCACTGACAAAAAAATTATCAGTCTATAATTTTAATCGTAGGTTTATTTGAAGAGTGAGAGACAGAATAACAAAAAAATCCAGAAAAACGGATGTCAAAAATTTTATGAATTGATTTTCATTTTAATGAGGGAAATAAGTATTTGACCCCTCTGCAAAACATGACTTAGTACTTGGTGGCAAAATCCTTGTTGGCAATCACAGAGGTCATACGTTTCTTGTAGTTGGCCACCAGGTTTGCACACATCTCAGGAGGGATTTTGTCCCACTCCTCTTTGCAGATCTTCTCCAAGTCATTAAGGTTTTGAGGCTAACGTTTGGCAACTCGAACCTTCAGCTCCCTCCACAGATTTTCTATGGGATTAAGACAGGAGACTGGCTAGGCTACTCTAGGACCTTAATGTGCTTCTTCTTGAGCCACTCTTTTGTTGCCTTGGCCGTGTGTTTTGGGTCATTGTCATGCTGGAATACCCATCCACGACCCATTTTCAATGCCCTGGCTGAGGGAAGGAGGTTCTCATCCAAGATTTGACGGTACATGGCCCCATCAATCGTCCCTTTGATGCGGTGAAGTTGTCCTGTCCCCTTAGCAGAAAAACACCCCCAAAGCATAATGTTTCCACCTGCATGTTTGACGGTGGGGATGGTGTTCTTGGGGTCATAGGCAGCATTCCTCCTCCTCCAAACACGGCGAGTTGAGTTGATGCCCAAGAGCTCCATTTTGGTCTCATCTGACCACAACACTTTCACCCAGTTGTCCTCTGAATAATTCAGATGTTCATTGGCAAACTTCAGACGGGCATGTATATGTGCTGTCTTGAGCAGGGGGACCTTGCGGGCGTTGCAGGATTTCAGTCCTTCACGGCGTAGTGTGTTACCAATTGTTTTCTTGGTGACTATGGTCCCAGCTGCCTTGAGATCATTGACAAGATCCTCCCGTGTAGTTCTGGGCTGATTCCTCACCGTTCTCATGATCAGTGCAACTCCACGAGGTGAGATCTTGCATGGGGCCCCAGGCCGAGGGAGATTGACAGTTCTTTTGTGTTTCTTCCATTTGCGAATAATCGCACCAACTGTTGTCACCTTCTCACCAAGCTGCTTGGCAATAGTCTTGTAGTCCATTCCAGCCTTGTGTAGGTCTACAATCTTGTCCCTGACATCCTTGGAGAGCTCTTTGGTCTTGGCCATGGTGGAGAGTTTGGAATCTGATTGATTGATTGCTTCTGTGGACAGGTGTCATTTATACAGGTAACAAGCTGAGATTAGGATCACTCCCTTTAAGAGTGTGCTCCTAATCTCAGCTCGGTACCTGTATAAAAGACACCTGGGAGCCAGAAATCTTTCTGATTGAGAGGGGGTCAAATACTTATTTCCATCATTAAAATGTTGTTATTCTGTCTCTCACTGTTCAAATAAACCTACCATTAAAATTATAGACTGATCATTTATTTGTCAGTGGGCAAACGTATAAAATCAGCAGGGGATCAAATACTTTTTACCCTCACTGTACTATTAAAATTATAGACTGATCATTTCTTTGTCAATGGGCAAACGTACAAAATCAGCAGGGGATCAAATACTTTTTTCCCTCACTGTAATGGCTAAAACTAAAAAAATGGTGTCCCAAACAAGCATTGCCAAGCAAAACGGTGAAGATTTACATGGCTGGCTGCCCTGCCACACAACTGCAGGACGTGCCCATTCCGAATCATATACGCGACAGTTCTGCCGCAACGTCAACTCTTAACATCAGCAAGCCCACTCTTAACCTGGCACAATCACCTGGTGTGCTCCTAACATACCAGTGTCATCATCCTGCACTTTTTTTCTGCTCAGAATTCTAAGACCCTATGGGGCCAGACTCAGTGCCGTACTGTAAATCACTGCTTCGGCTGAACAGAGAGGAGCTCTCAAGAGGTTTAAGCTGGTTCAGTCCTTAGGGAGTGATATTGTGCTTGATGGAAGAATTGAGCTTAAGCTCCATCTTCAAGGGCATGCACAGACACACAGTCTACAAGCTCTGGAGGAGATCCAAATAGAAGACTGAGATTGACTGATCCCAGTAAGAGCTGTACAACACTTCACTCCCAGGGACAATTGTTGAATTGGTCATAAATACATCAACAAAGGTCATCGCAAGACAAGGGTGTGCATAGCTATGCCACAATTGAAGGATTTCTGTGTAAACATTTAGTAAATTTGTTCTAAAACTATGATCAAACAGGTGATCTTGTTTATTTGATGTTTGCAGTTATTCCATCTGGTCTGGGAATTTTCTATTTATTAATATGGATAGTGGTTATATTCATATTATTTGGGTCTTTCAGTAAAGTCACGTAGATAGGTTCAAAGAAAATAACAAAAAATAACAAAAAAACGACGTTTCCATCGCAACACAAGCATTCGTCATCAGGAAGAGGGGGTTAGCTTCTAAAGGTAAACTGTTTAGAAGGGTTTAAAATGGGCGTAGCCGAAATTGAGCAGCCAATGTTAATGTCAGTGGTGGGCAGCGACCGCGACGGTGGTTGGTTTTCCCACCAATCAAAGGGCTGCCCAGTAAAAAAATTCATAATGTAAACGTTGAGCGGCCTCCACAGCTGGCGCCCTGAGGTGGCTATGTTAATGTGAGAGATTAGCATGTTAATGGAAGATCGCAAAGCAAAAACCTCGAGCTCAGTTAGCGAGGTGGTTGTGTTAGGGTGGTTATCTTTTCAGATGTGGAACATTCTCCTTGTCTGATTTTTTGGGATTCTTTAGGAAGTATGATTTTTTGCTATATTTGCAAATTTGCTGTACTAGTTTCATTATTTTATCTTTCACATGTTGTAGATTCACCTTGCTCTGTGAGAGCTACTGTTTAAAATTGACCCATCTCCAACTTAGTTTTCTCTGCTGTCACACACCCATCTTCATGTCTTCTTTTCTCAAAATTCATTCCTCATTCTTGGAAAATTATTTTACAGTTCTGCATATTCTAGATTGTTTGACATTTTCATCCCCATTCATCCGGATTCTTACCTTCAACATGCTTTATATGATTTAAAGCTTTCGTGACTGCAGGGATTCATATTCTCGGTTCTTTCGGTAAAGTCACGTAGAAGGGAAACAATAAAATAATAAAAATATAAAACAATAAAATTCTCACGATGTTTCGACTGCAACACAAGCAATCATATTCAGGTGTGAAAACCACAGCAAGAAAATGTTCTTGCTGTGGTTGAAACGCCGTGAGAATTTTATTGTTTTATATTATTATTATTGTTTCCCTTCTACGTGACTTTACCGAAAGAACCAAGAATATGCTTTATATGATTCCAGATAACTGGATGAGGCTATTTGAGGGCAAAGGTTAACTAACTGGCTTCATTCTCCAAGTGGTGCAGTGCTGCAAGTGAATGACACACGGTCATAGAGGATGCTTACCGAAGAGCACTGTCCCCGACGCCTAAGCACCCTCGTAAGCTCAGCTGCCTGAGAAAACCGCCACACCTCTTGGAAATGTTCTCGACCACGCGACCCTGTCACGTGTACAATAAAGACAAAGATCCCCCGATATGACTGTTGGGGCAAGTGCTGTTAGCAAGCACCCATGAAGGCCAGCATGGTACACGAGGGGGTGTGTGGCCAACACTACACACACACACACACACAAAACACATGGCACAGACGAGAACCAGGGTGTACGCCACTCACAAACTTAACAAGCCTCTCCTCCAAGGAAAAAAAAACCTCATCACTGTCTACGAGCATCAACCTCGAAAGGAAATAACACACAACACAAACATTTTCTTTTTCGTTTTCATTTTGACAATTGCAGAATAATCAGGTTGGTCAGCAACCATGCCCCAGCTTTATAATGGCTTGGCAAATGCTTGCTTTTGCAATGCCTGCAAGCTCAATATGGTCATTTAAACTTGAAGAGTATAGGAGTGCATAAGAGGAAGAAATAAACGCGTTTTATTTTTATAAGACAGCATCAGTAACATGCTTTATCAACTACATCCAAGCATACAGCAGGATGCCACATTGCCTATATACAGTTGATATACATGTACATATTCATTACAAATAAGCACTACAAGCACCACATTGCATTAACCAGCTGTGCAGGATATACCGGACCATTATCAAGAGCGTAATCACACCTACAGGAACAAAATATTATCCCAATTTTCTGAACTCCTCAGTTCCCCTGGAAGCTGTACTGCTGGGGGTAGTCAGTCCTCCACCTTAACCCTTCACATGCCCAACTCCCCCAATAAGCCGTGCATGCAAAAAGCAGGAGCAGCCAACAGCATTTAACTACACACCCTACTTCAATTACAAACAAGAAGCACAAATCAGATGGGACTCAACAAAGCAAAGCAACTTGAACAACAAAGAATGTTGGAATATACATTCAGATTTCCCCTGTTTACTACATATCTGTGAACCCCTTATCCGTGCCTACCTTATTAAAGACCTTATTGGTCACCCCGTGCCCTTATAAATCTTAACTTTCATCCAACGAAGTCCCATCACAAGGAAGAAACACAAACAAATAGACAAAAAAAATGTGCCTGTATTTAAACGGCTGTTCGCCGTATGAACCTGAAAACTCAATTTCCCTGTACAAGAAAATGGGTAAACCTCATGGGTTGACGGGTATGTTACTGATCTCGAGGAAACAGAGGCTATTACAAATGTATTAAACCATGCGGCGTAAAGTTGTGAAAAAATTAAGCATTCAAGTTATTTCATTTTTTAAATGCATGGTGTTAAAGTTTTACAGCAAATATCACACGATGAGGAAACCATTTCCAGAGCTGCCACAATATTCATATCAGACAGCACTCTGCTCACAGCCAACGCAGTTCCTATGGAAAACCATATATATTTAACACATTTAGCACACTTAAATGTTAATAAATTTAATTATGATTATATGTAACCATCTTCCCAGTTTAATAGAGTTTAAAGACTTACATATATATCTTCTCAGTTTGGTATACCTCAGAAATATATATTAGATGCTTTTTAGCTAAGTCACTAGAAAACTTAAGTATAACTATACATTTATAAAGGTGCACTATTAAACTGTTAACACTTTTTTATTGTGACAAGATATTTCTGATAATCTAACATTATGACTTCTGCATCTACATATTTAAAGATTCGTTGTATAATATTGATTATATCACAATCCACTGAAATATGAAACAATTCTAAGTGTAAAATGCTTTACATTTGTGGATTACATACATTACATACAGTGCCTACAAAAGTTAAAACACGACATGTGCCTAATTGCTTGAAGCAGCTGGCACTCAGTGTGAATGTTAAACTCCGCTTCACACATCGCTGATGAAATGCCAGCATGTCACACCAAAAGCACAATAATAAAAGGAATACATTACTGTTTACCAGCTCTATAAATTAAAAATGAAAGCATATTTTATGCAATAGTATCACAACAGCTCAAGACACTATTAAGAGGAAAACTAAAAATGTCCAGTATTGAACATGACATGAACTACCTTAAATCACTATTAAGGGTCAAGCAAAAAAATCACTTGCACTGGAGAGGAGTAACAATGGGTTAAATTCATTTCATCCCAAGGGGATTTTGGGAGCCATGCCTAGGAAGATTCATAAACCCAGTCATGTCGCTGTTAATGTCATCTCGACAGGGAAAAAATATATTATGTTACTGATGATGACAAAACATGTACCCCCAAAGTCTGTAACTGTGGACATCACTGCGTTTCAGGTAATGAGTACACCTGTCATGCCCATCACAGAACTCCTATATTTAGATGTTATTAAACAAGCATTAATTATAAGCGTCTATAAACCACTCCAGAAGAGGATCCTACGGCTAATATTATTACTGCTGCTGTATTAGGAACTAGCGGGAAGTACCCGGCGTTGCTCGGGGAAAAAAGATATTTCAAAACTTCCCTTAAAAACATAACATATATAAATACACAAGTACTAAGCTATTGTGAAAGGCCGGCATTCCGTTTGTCTGTCCATAAAAAAAATTTTAGAGGCTTGAAGAAGTCCTGAATGAAAAAGTAACAGAAAGTGTTGGGTAAATAGTTGATCTAAAAGGTACTCTTTGGTTCTATTGGGTAAAGTCACGTAGGTGACTTTACCCAATAGAACCAAAGAGTATGGATCCTAGCAGTCACGAAAGCTTTAAATCTAGGATCTAAAAGGTGTCAGAAAATCGTCGACCTCCCCCCCCCCCCCACAAAAAATATTTTTACTCCCCCCTAGGCATATATACCTACACACCCTACATGCAACAGAGTAGTGTCTAGTGACTGTATAGTAGTATCTGGCTCTACAGTAGTATCTACTGACTGTATAGTTGTATCTACTGACTGTATAGTAGTATCTATTGACCCAACAGTAGTGTCTACTTACTCTATATAGTCGCATCTACCGACTCTGCAGCAGTATATACTGACTATAGTGGTATCTACTGACTGTACTATTATGTACTGACTCTATAGTAGTATCGACCGACCCTACAGTACTATCTACCGACTCTATATTAGTATCTACTGACTCTATAGTGGTATCTACTGACTCTAGTAGTATCTACTGACTGTATAGGAGTGAACTGGCTGTAGTAGCTATACTAACTGTATAATAGTGTAACGAGCGACTTCCGCGAAACGTCGTGTTGAGGGTACTTCTTTATTACTCACACTGGGCACAACACTGGCAAATACTTATTCCTTCTCACACTGAGTACAACGCTAGGTATTAATGTCTCTACTGGCTACACACAGCCGATCACTCGGCGTGGTCTCATCGCCCTCACTCGGCTACGCCGCTGGCTGGCCGGCGTGACGATGACGGCGATGGAAACCACGCAGGAGATCTTCCACATGGCTGGACGATGGAGAGAGATATCGGCGAGCAGCGACGCAGCCAAGACCCAAGACCCCACACACGAGCCCCGCGTCCACTCCCCCTTATATCCCCCCAGGCGTGGCTAGGCCCCGCCTCCGGCCACACCCTCTCGTGGAACCTTCGAGCAGATTCCTGGAGTTTCTCGGCTAACCCCACCTGTTACCTTTGGCCCAGATAGACCTCCTCTGATTGGTTGTTACTTAACCATGCCCGTACCCATGATTCCCCTTCAAGGCCAGCAGGTATCACACTGTTATTACATCAGTACTAACTTCTTGAATAAAAACTTGCGTGACTGCAGGAAATCATATTATTTGGTTCTTTCGATAAAGTCACGTAGATAGAAAAATAATGGGAGTAAAGTGAATAAATAAAAATTAAATCCATAAAAAAAACACTAATGTGGACTGTAGGCTGGTTATTAAGTATGGTGAGTGTACAGGCAGTCTATAATGTACACTGTAGCAACAGTTATTAAGCTGGGTGAGTGTACTGGCAGTCTATAATGTAGACTGTAGCCTGGTTCTTAACCTCGGTGAGCGTACTGGCAGTCTATAATGGTTATTAAACGCTCTCTCAGTTTAATAACCATTGGTACAGTCTACAATCATAAACTGCGAATATGCTCACCAGCTTAATAACCAGGCTAGTCTACATTATAGACTGGCAGTACACTCACCCAGCTAAATAAGCATTGCCGCAGTCGACATTATAGACTGCCAGTACACTCACCAAACGTAATAAGCAGGCTACAGTCTACATTATAGACTGCCAGTACACTCACCAAACGTAATAAGCAGGCTACAGTCTACATTAGACTGCCAGTACACTCATTCAGGTTAAGAACGGGGCTACAGTCTACATTAAAGACTGCCAGTATGCTCACTCAGTTTAATAACCATTGCCACAGTCCACATTATAGACTGTCAATAAGCTAAAAAAAACAGGCTAGTGTACATTATAGACTGGCAGTATGTTCACCGAGGTTAAGAACCAGGCTACAGGCTATATTATAGCCTGCCAGTACACTCATCGAGGTTAAGAAGCAGGCCACAGTGTACATTGTGGATTGCCAGTACATTCACCCAGCTTAATAACCATTGCTGCAGTCTACATTATAGACTGGCAGTACACTCGCTCCGATAAAAAAGCAGGCAACAGTCTGCATTCGTGGTTTTTTTGTATTTGATTATTTTTATGTTATTTTTACTATTTTTATATTGCTTAACTGCAAGTATTACTATTATTTTTACGTCTACGTGACTTTAGCGAAAAAAACAACAATATAGTACTTACTTAACAGTGCCGTAGTGAAGCCTAGTCCCGTGCAGAGGCCCCGGCCTCGCCTAGATTTCCCAGCCGGCCGAGGTGGCACCTTGGCAGGCTGGGGCTGGGCCGCTACCCCCCCCCCCACCATCCCACCGCCCGCTCTACAATAACAGTATCTAAGCGCTAGATTAGTATCTCCCGACCCTATAGTAGTAAGTGAACACATTGGGGTGGGGGGGGGAGAAGAGGACATAACACTTTTGAATAATAAACCTGTGCCTTGTGTGTATTTTTTTCGCATTTTTTACACGAATGAGAATTCCCCCCTCCCCCCACCGAACGCGTGTGCATGGCTAGGGACAAGCACGGCTTTGTCGCGCAGTGCGCAGATGCGTACTTTGGCGCGCGCTCAGCAGCATAAGGAAATAAATGAATGTACTAAATTGGTAATTCAAATACTTAAAAGTTGACGGATGCAAAATCGGAATACCGCTGGCTCACCACGGGGCGTATTGCGTGATACCTGGCAACTTTTTTTAAACGTAAAACACACGGTTCGCAAGCCAAATCCTTCGCAAGTTGCGGCCACACACAGACAGACACATAGACAGACGAAAAAATGCCTTTTACAGGTTAGATAAAACAGAATGCACACCTAAGGTTATTTTGTTTTGATCTGGCTAGGTGGCTCAATAGTAAGAGCGGCTTGCAATCAGAAGGTTGCGTATAAAATCCTGGTTGTGGGTTCATCATCCCTCCGAGGTTAATCAAATGTGTTAGACTTTGTGGGGAATTAAAACAGTGGTTGTCCTATGGATAGAATTGTCCCCGCCATACAAATGTGGAAGTTTCACCATTGGCTGAGGGCTATACACAGGAAATGAGGACCACTTCAATGGTCATGAGTAGAAAATTACTTTGACTTTTAATTTCTTTTTAGCTTACTTCTGCCAAAGATCTGCTCAGCCAGTGAAGGGAAACATAACTTAATTTACTGCGCAAAGAGCAGAAAAGTTTAACTAATTTTATAATTAACAGTAGAAGACAGTAAGACGATGTGCCCTAATGTTATAGGATTACTGCTACAACTATTACGACCACCGACAATGATTAAATTACTTGTAATGTTAAGTTTGATAACTCTTACCTCAATGTCCCTTTGGAAGTTGAAGAGATCAATCTTCTGCCAGTTGCTTCCATCAAGGGCCAGCACATTCCATGCCTATAGGGTTAAGTGCAGAGATGTCAAATTAGTTGACAATGAACAAAACAAACACAGCCATAACTGGCACTGAACATGAGTATGGTACTATTCTACTCAAGTCAAAACTTAACAGAGAGCTTCAAAATACATTTTATTGTGACTTGCCTATCACAGGATAGATACATCAAGCATGTAAATTTTAAGTGCCAAGGCAAATACATCCGTATTCAGTGACAAAACACACTAACAGAGAAGAAATGACAGCAAAAATTTTTAATGTGGATTTTTATAAAATGTTTCTTTGTTAAATCGTGCTAAAATGGCAAATTAGGAGTCAGTTAAGTATTTACACTGACCTAAATGAAACATAACTCAATAAGGGCTTAAAAGAAATGCAATGTTTAAAATAAATTCTCCCTTGAGGTTCACTGTTCGGCAGTTCAGCTTTATTCACATCGCGTGCACAAACAAAAAACTATGCCTTGGCTCCTAACGATCTGCCCTTGGCCATTCCTCACATGGCATGTGAGCAGGGGTCAGAGTGCATTGCAGGTTTCCCTACCCGGTAGAACAAGTCACACTTTGATATTCCAGTATCAGGTAATGGCTAATAAAGTACACTGTATGAATTAAATCATTATATTATGCAGCAATTAATGCTAGGATGTGAATAATCACACCCATCACGTTGACAAATGATGAATACGTAAGAGTGTTAAAGGTGCAGCCTGGGAACTTACTCTGGACACCTGCGCACAGCGGCACAAGGTAACAACATCCAGGAAGGAGAATATCCTTGGGAAATAAAAACAGATGCATACGAGACGTTAGGGAACATTCTGCACAAAGCAACAGCACAGTAGAGTTACACTCTAGTTTGTAGTCCGGAGGCTCCCACGTGGCTCATTAACTCATTCAGGGCGCATGGAGAACATAGGGAATCTGTTATTTATAACATACAACCACTGGGTAGGAAATATTTTCCTGTGCTTTTTTAAATTAATTTTCTAAAACTCAAACATTTCAATTAAAATCACCAATAAACCCAATGTTCAAGGTGATGCCTATCAGAGTGCACAACTATATAGTGGGAATTTAAGTTCTCTCACCAGAGCATTTTAAGTGCTCAAAATGTAAGAAAGTTATAAGGTGGGAGTTACCAGAACCACAAATAAACTTGCATTAAGTGTTCATCTCAGTACACTTGACTGGTTAACAAATCGTTCATTCTGTCAAGATTGAGCTATTGTTCCATTTAAATATTCTGCTCGGAGCACACCTTTATTAATTTCGAAATATATTACAACAGAGGCATCTAGCTGTGACAATATTTGCAAGAATCCGACAACTAAAATCCTGCTACTATCCAGTTATATTAAAATACAACAAAATATATGTAATGGTGCCATGGTGTAAATGTGTAAGTTAAATGATGCATGTATAAACAACAGCCTTCTCTGAACGTGCTGCATATCTCTTTAAGGAAGTTGTACCATACCAGTGGCTCAATCCAACATCTAAGAAAATGACAAAAGGGACATTGTTCTGGGCTAAATACTCTTATATAAGCACACGTTATTTGTGATGAACGCTGCACTTCACGTCGTATTCATGCTGGGGGCGCTGCAAACCTACGCACCCCCTGCATTAACGACGGAGGCACAGGGACAGACGTTCGATTACGTTGGAATCGATCTGCAGACGGCGGTCTTCTCACACGGCCAGCTCTATGTCGCCTTATCTCGATCCCGCAATCCCAAACAGGTGAAAGTTCGCATCGAACCGAACTCCCAGCAAGGCCATCTACTTAACGACGAGAGAAGATTCACACGAAATGGCGTTTTCAATGAAGTCTTCCAGAGGTAAAATTATTTAAGGTTTTAATGAAAAAATAAAATTATCTAATTCAAAACATAATACAATTCAAAGGGGTTTAATTTTTAAAGTTCAAAACGGAGGATCGGGTGCTTGCGTGAATGCGTCGTTCGTGTGTAACTTTTTTTGTTACTTTCCTGGCCGAAGGCCGTAAATGGTTGTGAGGGGGCACCGCAGGCACCCCCGAACAAACCATAGTTATGTATATTCATGAGCAGGTGACGTCCTCCAAATGGACACCCCCCCACCCCTCCTCATTAATAATCATGAGCAGGTGACGTCACTCAATATAGAGTACTCCCCCCTCACTAATAATCATGCGCAAGTGACGTCACTCCGCATCAAACAGCTCCCCTCATTAATAATCATAAGGTGACATCCTCCAAATGGACACCCCCCCCATTCAGACGTCACTCCACGTGGGGGGCCGAAGCGCCTCCTTCCCACTCCACGGGAAAACTTACAACCCTCACTACAAAGGCAGAACCCATGTCACGCAATCTCCGTAACGCTGTTGAGACATCAACGTAAAAAGGACGTCATGATGAACAAGGGATTATAACCTTAAAATGAAATAGGTCTGCGTCACCGCGCCCTTACAAATTGCACACGCATTGATGCAATGAAAATCATGTCGCAGACTGCTTTTCGCTTGCAAGTTTCAGATTTGCTGTAATACACATGTCCTTGGACGGGCAAAAGGCTAGTCATTTATAAATAAATAGATAACCCTGTATACTCATTACAGTTTTCGTTAATAGTTTGCAACATGTGTTATACTGAAGTCAATAAGATACATTTTCATTGTGGAGAAACACAGCTGATCACCTGCACACTCCTACAATCACACGTAAGCCTTAGTATGCTAGCAAATTGACTTAGCTATACGTATAAGTAATATTTAAAAAAAAAAAAAACTTTTTTTTAAACACGCTTTAATGAAATGTACTGTACTAGCAATGGAAGAACTCCACGACTCCAGGAAGTGGTCCCGAAGCTTGCCATAATGTAAGGAACCGTGGTCATTTACAGACAACGTGAGTTTACCGTGGACAATTAGAGCCAAGCCGAAACATAACAGAAAAAATAGAATGTTTTAAAATGTTTTTTATTTTTTATGATAGAATATAGTATTGTCATCAGTGTGACATAAGTATACCAAGTTTGCAGTCGATACCACATTGAGAAGTGGGCAAAAATTGAGTTAGAAGATTTGAAGATACAACAACAGACAAAGTAAGTTAATAAGAAGTGTGTAATAAAGAAGACCCTTGGACAAGACATGCACACTCGTGCAAAAAGTAATACAATGTAAGTGGAATTTTTGGTTAAGAGAAAGAAAAAATGCTCAGCTCTCAGCAATATATTTAATATTTCGGAAACACGATGGTTAATTGTATTACTAGTTGCTGTATAAGTATACCTTAACAGTGGCCAAAAAGAGACCAGTTAATTTAATGCTGTAGAGAAAAGTGTCACGGTCTTAACTAATGAGTTTTTACAGGATCAAATAACATTTTTAGCTTAATATTATCTTATTAAGCAATACGATGATTATAAAATTGAAGCAGTAATTATGTAAATGAAAATAGAATGCAACACACTTATAAAGAGTGCGAATAGGATTGTAGTGACATCGGGGATGTCACTGCATGGTGCCGGGCTGAGGGCCAGGGCACGCGATGCACTGTCATCGCATACACCCTGTGGGCGGGTGTAGCACCAGACCTAGCGGGGCTTAGTGAGCGCTGGATAGTGCGGGCACCACGCATAGCGTGTGGTGGGGGCTCCCACGAGGGGCAGCGGGAGTGTCAGCCCAAGGGCAGGGTTGCCCCGGGCCATGGCACTCTGGTTGACCCTGCAGACACGTGATCTAGAGTGTCCATAAAGAGGCCCCCAGGTGGGGCGACTAGGGGGTGATCACGTGTCCAGGGAAAGCTTTCGAGAGGGATCGAGAGGGAGCTAGAAGGCTCCAGAAGGCGGGCGGGGCCAAGGGCGGAGCAGACCCGACTGTCGGGGGATATAAGGCGGGTCCCTGAGAGGGACCGGGGTCGCTGCATTCTACAAGCTGAAGCTCCACGTCCACCAGCTGAAGCCTACATCTCAAGTTGGAAGCCCTACGTCTTCGAGGCAAACACGTGGTCGCGGACCCGAGTAGGGACCCAACCCTTCGTAGCAGTAACCCCTCTGTATAGAGTAGTTATCTGGGTGGTTACCACCCTAGGCTGTATCTGGTGAAGGGGCAGTTACCCCTTCGTGTTACGTGTTACAAATAAATGTGTTGCTTCTAAAAGGAACGTCTGCGACTCAGTTGGACTCACTACAGGATGAATGAACAGCTTCAGCAGTCCTTTTTAATAAAATTCACACACACCCACTATCCTAATGGTTTAGGTTAACATGACTTATTACCACATTTTCAGGACAAAAAATAGGAGCGCACACACAGCAGACTACAAGACTGGGCCCTCTTAAGCCGATATTTACTGACAAATCCCTATTCCCACGCATGTCCTAAAAAGGTTGATAGATGCAGAACACGTTATCCAGGGACCTTCTGGCCCAATTGGCATTCATGTCACCAAAGCTTGTCAGTCTGATGAACTGCTTGTGTATTTCCTTTTATTCCTTCCTCCTTAATTCTGCATTCCTCAAACTTGCTTACAGATTGCACTATCGTACCTGTGCAGCATTCCCTCAGAATTTGAATGTGGTACGTTGCCAGGTGATACTGGGAGTCCGCAGCTCATATGGGTTGCACAGCCTGTGTGAATGAAGCCAACAATGGCTGACCCAAAAACAGACATGTGAAAACCCTTTGATTAAACCATTTCAATTAAATTTACTCACTCAAGTGGTAATGTTGTAATTGCACCCATAAAAATAAAGAAATGTAAGCCGTTCCAAAAAAATTACCCCTATGATAACAATTTTCTGGATGTAAAAAAAGACTATTGGCCTTACATTCGATATCAAACTATAAAGGCTGCCCTCCATAACTTACTGACATAATCCACAAGCTTGAGCCAACCCACCTGCTGAGCTCGATAAAGGCACATCACAGGAAAATGCCGATTAAAATGACTTCTGGATAGAAGCAGCAGCTAATATGCATGTATTGCTCTTGCAATAATTAAGACATTCGTTAATTGGTAACGAGCCAAGCATTAATGACTTAAGTGAAAATGGAATTCAATAGAAGCCTTTTCCGGCTGAGAAAATGGGATATATCTCCTATATAGGTCAATGTTTATGAGAAACATGAGTGCTGAATTTAGCTTGATAAGAACATTTAAAACAATACACTTTTCCAAGAGAAATCAATTTTATGTTGCGTGTTATGTCAATGGCAAGACGATCAAGACAATTTCAAATTCATAAAAACCAGTTCGTACAAGAAGTTGAGGATGTGGCAGCATTTGTATTTCAGGTAAGTCCAGTTTCGTCACATTTTAACCGATGGGAGAGCTCCAAACAACATACCATGCAAAGCGAGTGTGACTGAGGATGTCCCAGTAGACTATGGTCTGAACCTTAATCTTGTTTGACTGTAAGACCAGCTCAGATAATTGCCTTGAAATATGCAACAGGCATATTCCAGTTCACAGGCCACTCTCATCCTCTACAAGCAGAAATCATTTTAAACATCACAAAGTACAAGTGCCCCCCTTCCAACTACAAGCTAACATCAGGACTCAAGGTAAGTGAAAATACAACTTTTCTTCTTTTTCTATTTGTTACTTTATTTTATGTTGCATTAACTATGCAGTATTTTTAGTGTTACATGCAAATCTACAATATTTATTCTTAATGAGTTTAACAGTGCTTCCCTTTTTGTTGAACCGTAATACATTTCATAGCACCGACCATATGGGCATTTAAATAAGTACATTATTGTTCCAACTTATGAACCTTTGACTTTTGAACGGGTCTCATGAACAAATTAGGTTCCTAACCCGAGGACTGCCCATATAGTAAAAGGTAACTTATGAATTCCAAAGTAGAACAAGTTTCAAGCACAAATTATGGCTAAGCAGTAAACAGTATCAAACACTTCAAAAAGATTTACACATTTGGACATACACTTCTCATACTGCATAGAGTTTAGTTTACGGCACAAAGTTAACTTTTGATTCAAAACACCACCAGTGAAAAAGTCTACTTTCAAATGTCGATATATGGAGATTAAACAAGTATTTTTTTTTCAGGCAGTGGAACACATGCAATAAAACATGTTTTTAACACGGGTACTGAGTCTTCTTGGGAAATCAAAAGTCTCAGCTATGTCCATATATACTCTATATTTTATATAATTAACTGTTTTCATCTTTTACCTTTACTTGTATGCTACGTAGTAATCTTCTGATGCCACGATCTTTTCAGGAGAGAATATCTTATGGACTAAGAGCATAATGTATGGCATCAAACTGATTAACAGTAAACCATTTAACATCAAAACCATATGGTCTAGTACTGTCAGGAAATCACTCATGTTTAAAACAGCAGGCCTAATATATAACAAATTTAGCATATTTATATATTTTTATGACATGGTCTTACAGCAACTCTTCTAAGAGCACCCAGCAATATGAGATTAACTAAAGGCTGTATTTCAATCTCACTTGCTGATAACCATGAGGACACAGTGCACATATTACGTCAAACTGCTGACCCTGTGTGTACACCCCAGGTCTTCATATTTGCCACGCAAAACAGTCCCAACCCCCACTGGGTGTCAATGATAAAACAGGCACTCAAGGACAAACAGCGAGAGAGGTGGCCTCTGAACATCTGCTCCTGAGGGAGTAAACAGAATTTGCCAGTTCGCGCCTCTAAACTTTGGCCAATCCCTGCCATCATCATACCCATGCCATGGTTGACCTGTCTATATGTTACAAATACAGCAAAACACCAATACAACTGGACTGCCACACATACAATTAATTGTGCTTGCATTTTGTGAATGTGAAATCTACGAGCTATTATATCCCTGCAAAAACTGGAAATGTGACAACTCGGAGCAGAAACAGGTGCAGTTTTGTAAGGTGGGTGCGTGCAAGTCTTTTTCATCCATAAACTCAGCACAGACTTGAGGTGCTGGGCTATACAACGTTAATTTGCTTTCGTATATTAAAACAAACCCCAAGATGTATTGTTCCTGGTAAAAATACAGGTGTGTTGTAAATTCTACATTACCTTAAGCTAATATATTTCCCTATGATCCACAATTATTTTCTATAGAATATCTAACCACAAAAATATACACTTACCGTACTATCATGGATTAATACTTAATATATTTAGTTGTCTAACAACAAAAAGCTATTTGTAATATTCCAGCAGATAGACAGTGCAAAGCACAAGAGCAATCAATGTTAATTTTTTTAGAGAACAGAATTATTGGCTACAACACAAACCAGCACGCTTGCTGTCACAGCATGGGAAAAATTCTATGTTATATTGCTAACGTGGGCTGGACACATCACAGCCCACATCTGAATGAAAGCTCTGCAAGCTTGGCATTAATAACATGCTGATGGGCCAGTCACATGATATGTTTAACTTCTAATGGATGTGTGTTTCACATGCAAATATCCAAAATGTGCAATGCATTTCACAGATGTGGTGCATTAAATCCAAACATTAAAACCTCGAAACCATTTTCTAGACTTTGCACTGAAGTGTAACTATGCAAAATGGTAGTGTTTCCAATAGTTAGCTCGAACTTGCATGGTAAGTAGAGCAGCAATTAATGTTTTTTTGTATTTGCAATGAAACATTTTAAGGTTAATTTGAGACTGAACTGTATATGCGATTTCATTTATTTGTACTGGAGTACTGTATTAAGTCATGTTTCTCAGACTACATAATTCATTAAATATATGCATGTCAATTGCATAGGGTATAATAGACTGCATTACTGTAGAAGTATATACAGCCTGCCTATTAGACTGAGGTCTTGACCAATTCGAACCCGTTAAATCGAGGGCGGAATCTAATTTTCAGTTCAATATAAATGATTAAAGAGTGCAGTAACAATGTATGAATGTATTATTGATATTGGTACGTGGGTAGACTTGGTTATTTCATGAACAATCAAGTACTGGCACACCGGTTGAATTGGCACAAGTTAACATTTTTCTTCTTCCTATATTGTTGCTGATTTTTTAGAAAATATTTATTCTAGGATAGAATAACTCCCGATTTGCTCTTTATTGCTCAATACAATACTTTGCTACCTGATGCGAAACTGACGGTGCAAATGCGTTTTTATGATTACAGTATAACATTTGATTAGCTAGCTAAGAAAGCCTCAATGATCTCCAACACTATTCAGGAGGGTCCGATTATGAGTTTTTTTGTAAGAAAAATAAGCTACAGTGCATGTCACCAAGCTTACCTCAGCAGCAGCTCCTTAGGAAGCTTTCTGTTAATAGCGACTTCATCACCACCATTTGAAAACATCTGCTTACAAACATAAATACAAGTACATACAAATCTCAAGTCTGATTGGTTGAGTCAACAACATGCATGTACAGTATACAAAATATAACCTGTTGCTTAAATAGTCTAAAATCTAATTTCGTATGCTCAAAGCTAAAATCTCAATTTCCCATAATTGGAGGGACCCAAGAACTGAGAGGGTGCAACCATGTATGCCAGTTAGTGCACAAACATTTAACCACTACAGAAAAAACTTTGAGCATACGAAAGTAGCCTTGGTCCTTAAGTAACTGTAATTTTGTTAAACTTGAATTTCCTTTTAATAACAGAGTATTAACAAAGTATCAACATGGGCGGATGTGCCTAAATAAACACCGTCTAGTGGATATGTATACACATGGCAAAATACTTTTAAGGGTTGTGAAAAAACAAACAAACATTACGTTTGGGAAAGTAATCTTACAACAAGGCTTATATCTACTGTGCAGCTAAATTCCAGATTTTAAAGCAAAATCAATGCCCGTCAAGTACATTATTGTTATACGACAGGATTACATTGTAATTCCACCGAGGTGAATACAATGTTTAGAATTGCCAAGCGTTTGTTTCTAGTGGTTATTACTGCGGCCAGTGGGGTTTTAATTTGGTTATGAAATATTTGCACTGGCACACAAATGTCCCACCCCCATGCCTATAATGTTGGGGGACGATGAAAAAAGTAAAATGGCCGAGGCATGTCGAGTTTGAACCAACTCCACTGATGCAGACCCAAAGAAATAACCAGTTAGAACCTCCACGCCACGCCGACACCTACCCAGCGACACAGCCTGCATGTGAACACCGCCTTCAAATAAAACCAACAAGATACTATTTGCAGCCACTGTAAGATGAAGGAGAAACTCTTTCCCAACAAGTTTAGGCACTGGTAACTTATTTACCTCTAAGTGCAATTCACACAATAGCTTTTTGTTTTACTCATTTCAAGACAAACGACTGCCAATGTCACTTCAATGTTCAAATTATGAGGGCGAAGGAGTCAAAAGGGGTCCTACACCATCAGCCGACTGTGGCTCATAGATAAGGATGCATGGAGGCACTCTGACACACCCCAGTCACAAGAACAAAAGCAGGGCAGATGAAATAACTGAAAAGCATCGTGGGCTAAGCAATGGCCAGAAACAAGAGTGGAACTGGTGGTGATTGGCTTGGGAAATTAGAACACGTACACGTTCGTGAGAAATGTAATGCATGTTTGTGCGGTTGCAGACGTCTGTTTATGTCTATGCATCTACGTCTGTGCTAGCCCCGGCCACTTCTTTATGACCCTTGAGCTACACCAATTTCAAACCTTTTAAGACAAGTCTGCCTCAGCAGCAGACCATGCTTTCCCACCTGATGATGGGACGCTTGTGCTGCGCTCGAAACGTCGTGATTTATTTTATACCTACGTGACTTTACCGAAAGAACCAAAGAGTATAGAATGGAGGTGTTTATGATTGTATATTGTGACAGTGGTGGTAGTGATAGTTGCATCAACTGCATTAATACGAGTTGAAGATGGTGGTGGTAGTTTTGATGATAGATGTAAGAGTCGTGCCAATGCTGCTGATGGTTGTGATGATATAAGCAGCGGTAATTACGAATGTATGGGGGGGGGGGGGTTGACTGTAATAGCAGCAATGTACAAAAAATGTGGTAGTGGCAGTAGTCGTAATACTTAAAAATTGTGGTAGTTGTGCCGACAGCAATTACAGCCGTGGCAGAAACAAAAACAGCAGCATCTACTAAGCAGTGACGATGGTGCTGACAGGGGCTGTGAAGATGGTGACAGTGGTGATGCTCTTGCTGGTGGTGGTGGGGGGGGAGAGCATGAGTAAGTTGCTCTGCGAGATGCGAGTGCGACCCAAACAAGTCGCTGTCCCCCACCACCTCCTCCACCGTTTCGACCGACCCCACCAATCCCTCAACCACCACCAGTCACCACGAGTATCACCACCACCATCACCACCACCAGTCACCACTCGCATCACCACCACCGGTCACCACTCGCATCACCACCACCGGTCACCACTCGCATCACCACCACCAGTCACCACTCGCATCACCACCACCAGTCACCACGAGCATCACCACTACCAGTCACCACGACCATCACCACCACCAGTCACCACCACCATCACCACCACAACCAGTCACCACGAGCATCACCACTACCAGTCACCACGACCATCACCATCACCAGTCACCACTCGCATCACCACAACCAGTCACCACTCGCATCACCACCACCGGTCACCACGACCATCACCAGTCACCACTCGCATCACCACAACCAGTCACCACTCGCATCACCACCACCGGTCACCACGACCATCACCACCACCAGTCACCACGAGCATCACCAACATCGTCTCCAAAAACCACAGGGGTCCCTACCCCCACCCCGCCACTCGCACCAACCACTTTCCACTACAACTCCGCCTACAAAGTCCACCATCGCAACAATTTCACCCCACCCCAACCCATTGTACCCCACCAACTCCACAAACGACACCGGTTCTCCATCACCCTCCCACCCCCACCCCGACCTCCTCCTCGTCCTCCTCGTATCGCCTCACCTCGAACCTGCTCCGCGCCACGCCGTTGCAGGCCATCCCGCCGGCCGGGGCCTCGTCCCCCCGGGGCCGCAGCCGCCCGCTCAGCGCGCACAGGACGCTCACGCACATGCGGCCCGGCAGTCGCCAAACACCGCCTCCGCTCCTCAGGCACAACGCACACAAACGCACAACAACAACACCACCACCACCACAGTCGTCGTCGGTGTTATTATCATCGTCGCGGCTGCTGCTGTTGTTGTAGTGGCTGAGTAAGGAGAGAGGCGGGGGAGACAGTGAGGGGAGTGGTGGTGGTGGTGGTCGTCTCTCATGACATTCGCTATTACACCTCCTCGTCGTCGTCGTTATCGTCGCTGTCGTGAGGGTGAGCGGCAATGATCCTCCTCCTCCTCTTGTTATCGTTCTCTCCTCCTCCTCCTCTCGTTCTCTCCTCCGCCTTCCTCCTCGTAGTCGTTGTTGTTGTTGCCGCCGTCGTCGTCAGCTTCGGCCAAAGCAGACGCGCCCCGCCATTGGAATCGCTAGCGCAGATGCGCTCCTCCCATTGGCCCACGCGAGCGCGCATCCGGCGGGTGGGTGGGTGGGGGTTAGCGCCGCGCCAATGCGCGCTACCAAATGTGAAGGCGGGGAGGAGTCGGCGGCGGGCGCCCCGCGCGCGCGCGCGTCCTGATTGGACGGACGAGGTTCGGAATCGCTCGGCAATATCCGCAACGAAGGACGGCGGGGCGGGGCTTTGGGCTGTGGGTCACTCCCACCCCCACCCCCACTCCTCCACTCTCCCCCTCCCCACCTTTCGTGAACGGGCATTTAAACGCGAGGCGTCCAACGATTCGGGTCGTGTACCCGGACGCGTCGATTCTTACGCTCACGATAGACGGGCACGTAGTGCGCGTATCGAGATTTATTGACGCGTGCGCCATGTGTGCAGATTGTATTTTAATCGTATTGTTCGGAACAAACGTATCCGGAAAGACCAAACAAAACCAGGGGAAAAAAGTGGTGATTCGATTTACGCAAAATCAACCGCATCGTTGTGTTCTGCATCGACAGGTGCCTATTTTAAATGTGAAAAATGCACAATAGTCAGAACTGCGGGTGAGGTGGTGGGGTCCTGGGACGACTGGGTCCTGCGGGAACGTGGTGGGAATCCGAGTCACCTCTCACTGCTCCCGCTGTGCCGGAGGCTTATTAGAGCGCATGGGACCCAGCGTGTCTGACCTAACATTACACCCGGGGCAACTTATAGCACGGTGCATTGTGACTTCGCTGTCTGCACTGATGATGATGATGGGCTTCAGCGCGACATCGAATATTGGGAAGGGATCCGGGTAATATTGTAATGATGATTCGTCATAATGGAGAATCACAATCGTCGTCTATGGTTATATTATCAGTGGGTTTGATTAGACTATTTTTACTACAGGTGTCATGTAAAGTGTCCAGGTTAAACTCTCGCCGATTGTGAATTGTTACAATTACTCTTGCTTACCCATGAAATCCACACCGAGTCCCAAGACTTTTATTCAGGCGTGTCACGCCATGATTTTGGCAGTCGGAGGCAATGTTGCGATATGTAATCTTAATTGAGTAATTTGCTGGCAATTTTTTACAATTTGACAAATTATAAAATTGAACTGCGCATGACGCTAGGGGATCTTTAATTTTAATTACGTGCAGTAATAATGAGGGTGTCTGCTGGATTGGAACCGTCAACCTCTGCCAGGCCATGTCACCTTAATGATGGTGAAACCGATATAAAATATAATACCGTATTGCGCGCCTCGGTGGCGAGATGTTTACTACCTCGCCTGGTAAACAGGTGGTCGTGGTGTTCGATCTCCACCCCGACACCTGTATATTTGGATTTTGCATGTTATTTTTTCCCCGGTTCTCTCCCTTTCCCCCCCTCCACATTTAGAAGCATGCTTTCAGAGTATTGGTTGATATACATCTCCACATGATAAGCTACTTCGTCGAACTATGTGGCCAGGTCGCTTCCGAAAAAGAGCTACATAGCTCAGTGGGTCTTTCCTGATAAAATAAAAAATAGTTGACATGTAATTTGCTGGCACAAAACATGAGTCACATTTTCAGCACCTTGCTTAAGGCTGGTGGAAAATTCTCAAACTTGTGACATGCCAGCATAGGTCATTGGGGATATAGTTTATCAAATGAGGCTCCGTGGCCTAAAATTGTGGTTTCTTCTTATTTCCTTCTTACAAAGCAAGATGTAAAGTGCATAGATATGGATGTAACCATAGATCAATTATAATATCTAAATACAGTAACTTCGTAGATATCTGAGAATACCACATCGATCACATTGATGCCATGACATAAAAGGGACTGAAATTAGAGGTCCAGTTGTCATGTCGTGGGTTTTAACGTAAAAGTCTTGAGAAGTTGTGATGCAATTCTCCAAGTACTGTAACGGCGTGCCATTTTGCTTTTGTTATGGCCACCCTGTGGACACACTAGGACGGTGAATCATCGCTGGCGATGAGTGATGATTATGTAGGACGGATCGGGTTAGAGGGAGAATGAGAAATGGAAAAAAGGAGTTTAAACTTCTCACCTCTTAACATTCCACAAAAGGTTGTGAGCAAGCCAGTCCAAGTAGAGCTCATAACACTTAACATTTAAAGAGAACGCCAATACTGTAAAAATCAGGTGAAATCTGTGCACCACACACATTATATACTGTAATTAGAATTATATGCTGTTAACAAAAATAAATTGCAGATCGCTAAAAATAGATTTCTAAGGGCATTCATACGGGAGTGTGGTTGAGATGCCCTGTAGAGAGAGTGGAAACAGAAGGCAGACAACCCTTCCACGTACTTTCCCCACCATCCATCTGCCACGTGGACGGATTCTCAGGATGATAAACAAACCAACCTTATAGCCACCCCAGCGACCAATCATCAACCACCGACGGCCACCAGTGTTTGACACGCATGCACAAACAATGGCAATCCAGTCACAGCTGTTGGATGGTTTAGGGAGGTGTCCTTTGCCACTTTGTGTGCATACTTTGGTCATTTCGATTTATTGCCACAAACACCACGACACACACACGACAACGGCAGGCGACTTTGTTTTCATTAGTTTTGGCCATGTATTAAAAAAAAATTCATAACATGTACATATACAGAGAGAGAGACAATTGCATTGCAGTTGTCAGTGGCATGAAGCCAAGGAAATTATCAAGAGCTTTTTTCTTTAATGCAGGACAGTCCATTGAAATAAAAAGATAAAATTTTCTTAAATCTCAACTACAGCTGCTTGTATATTTACAACTCCATATAGTCGTTTACAATAGAACACCGAGCTACAGCACTTAGCTGTGATGCCTGATGTTGACAAACATCAATAAACGTGATTGTTACAGTCTGCTGGAAGAGGGAGTTATGTTTTGTATATAATGTGGAATGTTGAGTTGCTGATGATGCTACATTGTTGTTAGCTGTCAGGAGTAAAACAATTAAAAACTGTAAAAAATAATTCAGTCGTAAGCATCCCCGTTAATATTCAGCAACAGTGTTGACATTCAAAAGGACATTCCCTTGTTTTAATCTAGGATTTTTTAGAGTGATTGTTCGTTATTTTGTGTATTCTATCAGTTTTGTTCCACTTATATGTATATGATACAGCTTAATAAAATCCCTTGGTCATGATGTAATAATGGCTTGCTGAGTTTCCCTACATGTTCATTGACTGTTTGTAAAGTAGAAAATATTGAGGTATTACTTTTCTCCACAATGCTTCTCTTTGCAGTAATGCTGACTCAATCCTCGTGCAAACTTATAAGAGCAGTAGCCACATGATCTAATTGTTTCACGTTAATTTAAGAACATATTCACTGTAATCAGTATCTTAAGTGTAAGGCACTGACCAACAAAAACCTTATTTGTTGCACATGCCAAACGCATCATTGCCGATAACTCAAACAGTGCAGTTATAATTCAAATGTCCAAAAACAATGGTTTGAAACTTCGAAACAATGCAAAATAAAAAGCATATACACAGCAGTAAATACATTTCGGTATGCAAATGATAAGATACAGTACCTGGTAACATAGAAATACGGTTTACAGTACATATACCTATAAAATTAAAGTAACGTAAAAAATGCTCAACTGAAAAAATATCCTACAAAACACTGCAAAACACAGCAATACAGCATAATTTACTCAGTTGTGTAATCGATAGGTATCCAAGACACTGAATAGCACTGAGCCATCTCAGTTACCTCTTTACAATTTTTATGCTTTCCCTGGAAATTATTCAGGGAGAAAAACACAATGTTACATAGACCTTCATGGATGGCATGCGTCTTGTTATATATTTTAACTAGCTTCACTACCCGGCTTCGCCCGAGACTTGGGATTCTTGTCTGGGATTAATACAACGGCCTACGCGGAGGGTTGGAGGGGGGATGCGTGACGTCAGCAGGCACACTGCGTGACGTTTCCGCATGCGGGTGACATCACAGATGTGACGTCACCGCTCACTTGCCGTGCAAAATATATCCATTATTGCGCACCCCCCCCCCCCCCCCCAAGTAGAAAAGTCTATTTTTATACTTTTTGCATTGTGTACAGTCTGGAAGCTACCCACATGCCAAATTTCAAGTTGGGAAGTATGCTAAACATTTTGAACAGACACACATTCACACATTTCCCTTTTACATATATATAGATGTACAAATATGAACACATTTTTCAAGCAGTGAGAACATTTCTGACAATCCCAGCTCTCTGCATTACTGTTTGTTCATTCATGTTTGGTGTTTTCTTGTTCATGTTTTTGTTTGTTGCGGTTGCACCCGATTCAAGAGCCGAATGGCTCACAGGGCTATACCAAATAAATGAAACTATGAACTATGAACTAAACACTTTAAAAAATGTTACCGAAAAAAGAAAACTCCTTTCAAAGAGAAACACAAGCTCTCGTATTCCAGTGCAAGCTTATAAATGCATGAAACATGATGCAAAGCATCAATGCTTTTAAGTTGTCCATTTTTAAATGCACACAACACCTATAACTGATTGTAAAAGTTTTCTTTCATGACATCTAGTTTTGCCTTGGAATTCTTTGATTTTTATTTATCCTAGAGCTCAATAAAAATCTAAAATGGAACTTCTTCCCCCGTAAGGATAGGAGGAAAAAGTGCCTCTATTTGTTGCAACTATGTGAGCCTCAGCGGGGTGTTAAATTCAACAATTGACTGCGGGTTTTTGTCTCTATACATGGGAACTGATGGGAGTGCTGAACAAATGGATCAGTTAACATTATGCGTGGTTTCTGTAGTGTGCGTTGGTTCCCACGTGCTTAGTGTGATGCTCACAGATCCGCAAGCGACAGTCTCATAAAAGCTGTCCTGAAATAATATTCAATTTAGTCATCCTAATTCCCAGCATTAAGTCGTGACAAAAAGTATCGTGTTTTTTTTCAAACGACATCATTGCAGTAATGTGTTTATTTTAACGGCTCACAAGAAAAGAATGACAAAATAATGATTGTGCATCATGCTCTGCCTGGTTATGAATGCGCTTGGCTGGAGGTGGTGGATTTTTGTAAACAATTATCTGGGCAACATTATACGAACAGCAAAAAAGGTTTAAATTTTAAAAGTAAACACCATCCAACATTGCATGCCACATAATTGTGCGATGGGGAGGCGTAACATTTGGTGACTCACTTAGGACGAACATAGTCGCAGCTGTTTTTACCTTCAATGTATCTCAAAGAGTTGGCAACAATATTGAGGTTGTCGCTTGTCAAGTACAAAAAATAAACTCAGGATGGTTCAACTGTGTTTTAATGAAAAATAGCATTCAACTAAATAATATCCAACGTTCGTTGTAGGTACCAAAAGCAGAGAGGCAATATACCAATATAGTGGATTGCATCAAGACGTATTTTTCACTCGCATATTTTCGAATTGAAATTTTAATATGCATTTGAAAATATGCAAACAAAATACTCTATTTAAAAACAAATAGCGTTAATAATATGCATATTAAACTGATAACCTATCGGAAATTGGAAAGCCGATTTGATGACAAAGTGAATGGTGAACGAACATTCAATGCATATGAAAGCTCCGTGGGTGAGGCCTTCTGATTGCTCAGGATCACTGGCAGTGACATGTGCCTGCATCGCACACGGGCACGTAAGACATGCATCAACGGCCCAGCATTCTTGTGCGACACAAGCCAAATGGGTGGAAAAGTCACACTGTTTGGAATGCTGCTTTGTAACAATTCAGGTTATACTGGGGATGGCTTCTATTTACTGCAGTCAGTATACCCTGTGTTATTGAATGAGAGTGTCAGGTACTGATGGCTGCTGTTACTTGAAGACGAAAGAAGTACCTCTTCATTGTCTCAAACAAAATCCAATGCACCAACACGTGACCATTGTGTTACTGCTTCAGGGAATGCATATGAGCATTTTCAAGTGACCGTTGTGTACCTATATACACAGAGGAAAAACTCTTATTACATGTTTACATAATTATGTTGGCCTTCAGTTAACAAGACAATCTTCATCAAGATTTGGCATTTAACTTGGAAAAAAAAGTTTTCAATCAAAATATCTGCATAAATCTATATCCCTTGTTCGTGCCTTTTAAGCATTTAAAAATAACCTTTATTCATCTAAGATGTGCTCCTAAAGTTCCAACAGTTCTTTGAATACAGATTGTTAAGGCATCAAGGTGAGGAACTTGCTTTCCTCGGCCAGCGTGGACAGCATGGAGCTCATGTCCCCGATGGCCATGTTGGACATCCCTGAGGTGACTGTTGGGAGCGGTGGGGCCACCCCGGGGAGGCCAATGAGGCCCATGCCAGTGGAGACCGTGCCCACCCGCCCTGGAGGGACAGTGACCGAGTCGCGCGGGGTCGTGAGGCGTGACGATGCCTGGGAGAGATTCTGCAGGAGACTGGGGCTCAGTGGGCCCGACACCAGGCTGAAGTGGTCGCCATCATCCAAGATCATGGCCTCAAAGTCTATCTGAGAGGGCAGGGAGGCCTCCAAGCTCAACATGTCCATGGATGTGCTGCTCGTCACCTGATCAGCCCCTGGTGACAGCATTTTCTCTGTGGGCTTCTGTAGGCCATCCCTTTCTGTCACGTGAGGCTGCTGCTGCTGTGGCTGCTGATGATGATGGTGTTGGTGAGAGTTACAGCTCATCGACTGGCGATGGAAGTTACCACCTCCCTCGACATTGCCATGCTCGCTGAAATTTGCCATTCCGCCATCGTACATTTGAATCTGCCCAGTATAGTGTGTCGCTGATCCACGGGTGAGCATCACGTTGGATTGTCCGGTTGCCTGCGTCCTCATTGCCCTGCTGGAACTGGAACCAAGTGCACTGACAGGTTGTACACAGCTTCCCGAGTGCGCCAACTGTTGAAGGTTTCCATTTGACGAGAAGGGGTTCTGTCCTCCACCTGACTTTGCATAAGCAGGAGGGCGAGGGCGCATCGTGCCCTGCGGGTGTTGGGCTGAGCTGTAGTTCTGCTGACCTAGGCCCAGTGCTGGATTCTGCGACTGAGATGGGAAAGCTGCACGGCCTGGGCTCACGCCTGTGTGGGCTGGAGAGCCGTAGCCCGAATGGCCTCCCGCACCCATCGTCCCACCTTGCTGCGCACTGCCTCGGTTCATCATCATCGTGGCTGGATTCTGATCGCCGCAGAGGCTACCTAGTCCCTGCTGCGGCACTATGTACCCTTGCTGGGACTGGGAAAAGTTCTGGCTGGTCATTCCTTTGGCTGGGGTTGCAGACACCACCTGTGCACAGGAATGCAGGCCATTCCTAATCTGTGGGTGTTGCATGCAGCTGGCCTGATGGCCGGGGCTTGCTGGCGTGTTGCCACATGCATGGGGCCGCTGGACAGAGCCTGGGCTCACCACCAGACCACTTTGACACACGTGCTGTGATTGCGCCTGCGCCAGGCTTGCCTGCGCCGGGCCTGCCTGCGCCGGGCCTGCCTGCATTACGTAGCCCTGACTTGCACTGGCCTGCAGGCGACTGGGTCGTGAGGAATTAAACTGATTTTGCTGGTGCTGGGTGCTCCCGTTCATCAGATTCTGTTGATAGTGGGTCTGCAGAGGACCCACAGGAGCCTGGTATTGGCTGTAAACTTCGTTCTGTCGCACTAACCCAAGGTTGGGATTTGTGATTGTTCTGCGGTGGGGCACAGCAGGGTTGGCACCAGGGCTGTTGTCCATGCTGCCTGAACTGACCTCATTCCACTGGATGGGCAAATTATTTTTGTTCGAATCCGATGGCATGATATGATTGGGGCTATGATACTGCGCCTGATTGGCAGGGCTCAGTTGGCAAGAATTCATTGCTTGGTGCGACTGAGAGAACCCATTATCCGTGACCATCGCTTGCTGATGGCTGGCCGATGCATTGAGGGTATTGTGGTTGGCTTGACTGTACATGTTCATGGCGCCCTGGTAGCCCTGCTGCGGATCCCCGTACCCAATTCCTCCATCCACGGTGCCCGGGCCACCCGTCAGGCCGTTCTCCTCAGCCACAATGTACTGCATCAGATCGTCCGGAAGAACCATGTCTTCTTCTGGGATGTGGCCCTCTCCCTCCATCGCCATGGCCTCCATAATGACGTTTTCGCTGATGCTGGGTGGTCGTGGCGAGTACATGCTGCGCTGCAGGCTCCCGTCGGACCGCGTGTAGCCGCTGGCCCTGAGCCCACCGCGTCGGCGGTCCGACGGCGGCAGGTGCGGCAGTATGTTCAAGCTGTTGTATCTCTGATATTGGTGGTGCTGATGCTGCTGCTGCTGCTGCTGGAGGTACTGGTGCTGATATTGCTGCTCCTGAAGGCGACTGTGATACTGATGAGTGGTATTTAGTGGTTGCCCAAGCCTCTGCGGCAGCTGACTGTGGAACAGGCCCGGATGGTTGACGTTATCACCGGGTTTGCGTACCGGGTCACTCGCTCTTCTCGTCCCGATGCCGGGGATCTCGTGTGGCAGCGGAGTGCGGCTCGTGCCGTAGCCACACACCCCTCCATCACTGCACCGCCGCTGCTGCTGCTGCTGGTGCTGCCCAGAGAAGTGCTGTCCCGAGTGTGATGCGGCGCTTGACTCCCGCATGTCGCCATCGCCGTCCAACATCAGGGCCATGCGGCTCCTCAGCCCCATTCTTTCCATGTGCAGAAGCGGCGTTGGGGGCGGCCCCCCTGTGGCAACTGCATACTTGGCCTTCAGACGATACTGCTGCAGAGGTGTGAGACCTGGCAGGCCTGGCAGGTGCCCTGCACCGCCGCCACCACCACCGCCGCCGCCCTGGCTGGTCTGGCTGGAGCGGCGTGAGGCGTCAGTGGAGATCGGGTCGTAGGAATCGGCCGTGCTGAGATGGCGGCGGTATCCATTTAGGTGGCAGGGTGACACGCCAGATGAGCGCCGGCTGCTCAGGTAAGCCGAGCTCAGGTCACTGGTAGCGCTATCCCGACGCTCGTTGAGGCGGTTCAGTGACATCAGGTCACTGGGGTAAAGCTCAGGCCCGCGGGGGTTCACTGGGATTATGGTTGGGCAGCCATTGACGTTTTGGTGACCTGTGTGTTGTGAGATTCAACAAAAAAAGCAAAAATTACAATTGCATAAAAAATACAAGTACGAACTGAAAACGAGTAAAAACACGTGATCCATTTTTGTTTACGTTCTGAATTTATGAAATTCTTCATTTTGTTGATGTAGTAAAAAAGGAAATATGTAAAGAAACAACATTTTCGATTGGTTTACATGACAAAATCTGCAATAAATCAATAAGTTCTTAAACTGACAACTGCTTTTCTACGCGTTCAAAACTATTTAGGAGCCTCCTAGGGCCACACAGAAAGGCCTTCACGAGTGTCCCGAGAATGTTACCATTGATAGGAGGCAGCTTCACAGTCCCGGGTCCCCCTCGCGTGCCCCCTCTGGTCTCTGCAGCCCACGAGTCGGCGGCGATGACGCCACGCAGCCGCTCCTGCTTCATGTGCTCGAGGCGGTGGGCGGTGGAGGAAGCGGCCGACGAGCGTCGAGCGTGCAGCCCCACGCCAGGCCCATCCTCCCCAGGCTCCTCGCCACCGCCCTCCACCTCGCAGAGGCCGGTGCCCTCGCCCAGCTCTGCCTCCCCCTCCGCCACTGCTGCCGTCGCCGTCGCCTCTTGGGTGCTGAATGGGGAGAGCTCGCTGCTGCATGACGACTGGCTCCCTGGCGACATCTGCGAGAGATTTCAGCGGGGTCACTCGCATGAAGCAGCCGCCCTGCTTTTATTTTGTGACGATATGGCGCACGATACCGAATAGGTTTTTCGCAATTGCGGGGTACAGCTCTTGGATGTGTTTTTTGGCTGTTACCGTGCTTTGGTCAGCACGATGTCCAACTTCCCTGAAGAAGCTTCCAGCACGTTGAGCGAGACGTCAGACATCATTACAACATTATGCGGTAGAATCCGAGAACACATCAGAGAGCTACACAGCAGATGTAAACTCATTCGCTATTTTTTCTCTGCTGCAGGAGAGGACACAGGATGATTGTCATTGTGGGGTGTTTTAAACTCCTTTCATGAATACAGTATATATAATTACTTGAAAATAACTGTGGCCTCGGCACATAAGGTGCTGTTTAACAAATGATTATTATGATATAATAATGGTAATAACCATATTTCCAAATGCATTATGCCATAAAAATGCCTACAATGTCTGTGTTGTTATATTCGAAAATGTTGTTTGAAGTTTGAAGTACTCGTCTACATGTGATCATTGTGTGGTCACAGAGCTACTGGCACGTGACACTATCTTTAATACATGATGGAACATTTATAAAGTTAACATTTCACTGCTGCCTGTAGGGGTCAAGTGATCTGGCAGCTAGAAGGGTGACTCAGGGTACAGACAACAGGAACAGAGAAAAAGGAACGGAGGCGTTACCCAGCCTGCAGGCCGAGGCCCGGCCTCAGAGCTCCCACGGCACGAGCGGGTGGGCACACAGCTCTCCCGGGAGAGCCCAGAACCCACTCCCAAAACGACGCTTCCACGCAGCCGGGGTTATTGAGAGGAGAGAGTCGCATGGACCGCAAGGTGCACAGGAGAGTTAGTACGCATAAATCAGCAGCACGTTAGTGACAATTGCTCGGAAGCAGAGCTCTGGGAATGGCAAAAGCACACAAAAAAATGATGTCCAGTACACAGACAGCTCGAAATGATGAAGTCACACGGGGAATGATTACAATGAAGAGCAGAAAAAGTGAAATATGGCCACACCGCATGCAGAAAACACAATCTCCATGCACAGTTATCATGCCACACCTACATATTTGTTGCTAGCTGCCAAGTAACGCACATTGACTCAAGCGAGTCCAAAACTCTGAAGGCTCTCACCACCGATTTCTCTGATTTGACGGATTTTATCTCCACGTCATTGCCGTTTCCCCTTCTGTCGGAGTGCGTGGAGCCGGGGCTACCCAGGCCCATCTTGCCCCCCCCGCCAGGCATGCCCCCCACACCCCCACTGCCCGGCTGGTCCCTGGCCCCCCCGCCCGACGGCCCGCGGGGGTTGGGGGTATCTCCGCCACGCTGCTTCTTGGTGACGTGCGCTTCGGGCCCGTGCACCGTCTTGACGTGCTTGCGCAGGGAGCTGGGGTCCGTGTAGCGCTTGGTGCAGCTGGGAATCTTGCACACGTACGGTTTCTGAGTTGGTGGCGAAGGGCAAGACACAAGGACACATTTTGAAGTCACCCGGTGATGCTTTGCGTACATACTTCGGCAAATAAAGTTTTATAAACCGTGAGAGGTCGATATGACAATTGCAATTAGGAGAGATGGGATTTTAAAAAGGTACAGTAGTTGAAAAATGAATGTTACATATAGTATAATGTTGCTATTATCTGAGTATATTCCCATGTAAAACGATATATATTTTAAAGCACATCCTCATTTCTTAAAGTTTTTTTTATATATTTTCTTTCTTTTGCACATATTTTTTGGTTGTAAGAGATATTGTCTCAGCGGGCTCTTGTGTGGTAAAATAAAGGTTGTTTATATTTGAAAAAGAGGAAAGAGACAACATGGGAATAGCAGCTGAGAACAACTTTCTTTGTATGAAAGTCAATCCTCAGCTCTCCCTGGCCCCTGTTGCCCACTGTACATCTGCACTCTGACTCTCTAGGCCAAGCTACACACACTGGGCCAAATGCAGCAGTGTGCGTACCAACACGCTAGCCTCCAGCAATCAACTTGGCTCAGGACTTGCCTCACGCAAATGTGGTGCAGACAGCGTAAGCAGTCCCATTCTCTTTGGCATACTTTCAAAGAAGCCAAACATCAGTAGGTGGATGTGGCACATTCTGAATTTAAAAGGCCTCAAGCCAAATTTTTATCCCATTCCTTTGAGGCGAGATGGTAGCAGATGGCGACCCACTCCTCCAGGCCAGGCATGGGTAAGGAAACGTTTTCTAATAAATTGTAAAAGTATTTAAAAATTATAATCATGAATGTAATCAAGCATGAATATAAATATTATCTCTTTCACAGATTCTTCAAGGTTTATGAGCAAATATCACAGGCTGCACAATTTATCGCCGTGACAGCAAAATAGGGGCCATCAGAGTCAACGCCAGGACAGCACCAGCCCTAGCGATGACTGTGCAAAGCATGGCAAACAGTAAGAGCTTCTCGATGATTAAAATCTTGATATACATTCCATACTTGACGTCTTTATCGTAACTGTGCATTTTGTAAAATCCATAAAAAGCCTTTTACTGTATCCACGATGAATTGATAACACTCCCAGGAAGAATCGGAACTTTATCAGAGATTTGAATGGGAGCACGGTAATTGTTCATGATGCACAAGCGATGCTGCACACTGTTTCATGATTTGCCTTATATTGAATAGTAGTGTGAGAGGCTCCGTTATCTCATACACATTAGGTCCAGCAAAAACGAAAACTGAGTCTGGTACAAACACTATTTACCAGGCCCCATCTCCATGGATGCTCCTGGTTCCTAGAGCAGCTACTTCAGCACGCCCAGCAATCGCAAACACCATGCCCTACAGGACCGAGTTGATTGAAATTTAGAAGTAATACAACCATAAAAATTTAATCCATATATTCAAGAGGTGGCTCCATCCACTAGGGACTTAGGTCCATACGTGGACTTAGGTCCATACTTCCATGATTGTGGTGAACATTCCGTGCACCCTCTAGGGGGCGTTTGGGGCGTGCATCGAGGGATGGCGCTCACCTCGTTGGAGTGCGTGCGGTTCTGATGCTTGGCACGGTCGGACGCGTTGGAGAAGGCCTTGTTACAGCCCTCGTGCTCGCACACGTACGGCTTCTCGCCCGTGTGTGAGCGCAGGTGCGTCTTGAGGTTCTCCAGCCGAGAATAGGCTTTGGCGCAGCCCTCAAACTGTGCACGATATTCATTAATGCATTGATTCACAAACGCCGCTTTATGGGACATTAACACATAACTGGGGTGTGAGACAAGCCTCACCAATGAGACATCACAAGTAACAGCGGTTGTCGCCGACGAAGCGAAGTGGACTTTCCACCACTGGCTCAGGACCAGTAAGGTAAGGATGAGCGAACATTTATTTTAGTACGTTTAATAATTTTTTTAATGTTTTAGACCAATATACACAACATACAAATCTTGCAAACGAACTGCAATACCAGTTTACATCTGCTGCCCATAACCTAGATGACGTGTATTATTTTGACGTATAAATTATGTGTCAGAAAAAAATATATAATTTTGTAACCGTCACAGAAAGATGCATTGTCCTGTGTCAAAATATAAGGAACGAGGGATCAGCTCAACGCACAAAAAAAAACAAAAGGTATTTTTTAACTCACATCCTTAAAACGCAACAAAACCGTTAGTAATTCACCTTGATCAATTCGAGGAAATATTAAATAAACACCAGTGAGCCTAAACATGGCCTCATTAACCCTGCTGGCACACGAGCCTGCTTGGGGTGTGGGTGTCGCCATATAGTGCCCTCATTGTCTCATCGAGGGATATTAATTATGATGGCCTTCAGCCCACGGCCACTTTCACAATCGAGGCCAGACAGTTACAGAGCACAACCAGTGATTGTTTCCCGGCCCTGATGAACCGAATCGGCACAGGTCTCCGACCCACGGCGACACAGTAGGTGCTCGCCGCCCTGCTGAGGCTTCCCGTGGCGGTGCTGCACGCCACGTAAAGTTGCCGATGGTGAAGTGAGCGGTGCGACATCTGAGCGTATGGGCGCAGAAGGAAGGTTTGCCACCTTTGACGGTCAAAAAAACGGGACATATCTTGGGAAGGACATCTCACAAGACCAAAAAATGTACGTGCAAATTGCTAGTCTTAGCTGGTGCGTTGTTATGCGACAGAAAATAATCATGACTTTGAATGTCCCCGGGGAGAATGAGATGTTTTCCCAGGATGGCTCCCTTAAAAAGAGTGGCAATCCTGAGAAAACTGGGGCAGGAGGGGCAACCCTAGCAGGGGGGGGGGGGGGGGGGCGCCCGGGTGAGGCTACGCCCGCTGCGAGCGAACGTACCGTGCACTTGTGGGGCTTCTCTCCCGTGTGGCGCCGCATGTGCACCACCAGCATGTACTGCGCTTTGAAGGGCTTCTTCTCCCGGCTGCAGTCACGCCAGCGGCACACAAACTCCTTGCGCTCCCCGTGGATGTGCTCGTTATTGATGTGCTGCAGGCAGAGCAGAGCAGGTCGCAGGTCAGAGATGGGGGCAAAGAACAAAGGTAGACAATGTGAAGAATAAGAAGGGCATAAAAAATTGAATTCTGGTACGAACAGAATATTTCCCGCCAATGTTTGTGGCAAACAGCGTTACTTTTTCAAAGCTATCGCCAGTCATGATATCTTCACTGCTGGATGGAGGCCTTCCCAAGTAATTTCCATCACTCACGGTCTCGTGACACAAGAAGCCATCAAGTTCGTGCACAGACGCTGCTTTTTATCACTCCATCTCCACGGTGGCCATAATTTCAGTTGCATTTACCACTTTTGCATGCCATTCCATCATTTATAAATATTTAGTTTTTTGTGCTTTGGCATGTGAGAACTTGGATATCGTTATACATTTGCATGGAGACAAATTACCTTTTCAGTCAACACTTTAGAAAATTCTGGAAAATAATTTTCAGATGCGATATAATTCTTCACATGTATTCACAAAAAAACTTTCTCATTACAACTATTTTACCTGTCATGCCACAGTGGAGTATGTGCTACGGGACGGGTCTGTGCTGGGTGAATTCCGTATTTTCGATAGGAGTTTAAATTATACATTTGCAATGAGCCGCCATTATGAGACCAAAATTTCACAAATACCCCAAGGTGCTACATCCAGGACTCACATTGCAATACCCACACAGCCCTCCACTCAGTTAATTATAGAGTTATAATATCTGTTAATATTTTTTGTTACCGCTGTCCATTTATTCAACACAAACATTTTATCCAGGCATTCAGGTACACAATTAAATTTTTATGTAAACTGTTACACATATTTTAACACCAAGATAAACAGTGTTTTCAGTTGCCATAAGTCTGCAGATACTGAAAATGTGCCAAAAATAACCCCTAAAATATATTTAAATATTTTATTATGACATGTATTGTACAGTTCATTCCTGGAAATGCCTTCTCTGTGGCAGGCGCATATGTCACCTTCAAATAATGATGTACGAGAAATGAGAACTGTTAAAAATTAATGTGGCTTTGTGCAAAGGTAGCCAATTGCATACATGATTCCTCAGGGATCTCGCAGTGATTTGTTATTTTAACTTTGCTCCTGAGAAAATCGCTGCATATCTTTACAATAATGTATGCACGAGTGGACAAGCAATTTAGCGCCATCCATCAGCATCCGTATTATATAACTACACATTTGTTTAAGTAAATATAATTCTAATAAACATTTTTTCTCCAGTACAGTGCTGAAAGGTTGATTCGTCTTAACATAAATCTGCAATCGCCACCTGAACTTTTTGCCCAATTGAGATCATTGTTTATTAAAGACAGCACGCCAATTAATTATACGGAACCCAAAGTAAAGACATCCCGCCTGCTGAGCCGACACGCCATCACATCATCGCATGCTGGCGCTTTGCGGGTACGACGTGCCGCTGGTAATTACACCTGAATTAATGGGGTCCCAGCAATCCATTTCCTCAACCCCGCATCACAGACCTCGTCACACACTCCCGAGCCACGACCCAAAATAAATCAACGCTGGGACCATTCCTCACGGAAATTTGACACCCGTGTCAAGGTCCTTCTTGGCAGCATCGGCCCCTCCCCCGCGGGCCAGCCGAACGCAACGCCGCTAATTTCTGACGCACGACCGCCGGTGGGGGTTAATATGCTGCCCCCACGAGTTAACAGAGCCGTGGTGGTATTTGTCAAAAAGAGAGGACCTGGAACGGGGGTTGGCCACCCGCCACCGCTCATTGTCCCTGCGTTAATGATCTGGGAAAGAATCGCGGGGCAGCTGTGTGAATGACGCCTGTCGCCGAGACGGATTGCCGATGCGCTGGCACAGCGTTTGTTTAAGACGGAGGTGCGGGATCAAACCCGCATTCACACACAAGGTGAGGCCGTACGACGTGAGGCGTCCACTCAACGCGTCCGAAACGAGCCGGCGAGCAGGGCGCGACAAAACACGGCGCGGAGTGAGACTCTCGCAGTCACCACTAGATGGTGATATATATGCAACGTGAGACTGCACGAACGCTGGTGAGTTTGACAAGACGCCCAAGTCACGAACGGGTGTAAGTGTGTCCATCGTACGTGAGCAGCTGTGGGTGTTTGCTTGTGTGTGCAAGTGAAATGTGGGACGACTGAATACATTGTCTCATCACCAACTCCGCAATTCACATCACACAGCCTCCACGAGCAAACTTGGGCATGCAGCCCAGCTCGATTATTAGGTACGGATCCTGCTCAGGAAAGTAAGACACACTTGGAACAGTGTGCCCCGTGACAATTAAGTTAAACTAATCTAGTGGCACACACACACGCACGCATCCTGGATTATAACATACACCCCCCCCCCCCCAACTTTTGCTTTCATATCACAGGGGGGAAAAAAATTCATCTTTTGGCGCGAGGAATGCGGTCTATGTTTTATTACAAGCACCCGACAGGGGCGCGAGATGGCTGGCTGCGCAACTCACGTGCACGAGCTGCTCCTGGGTGTCGAACTCGCGCAGGCAGTCCTCCCAGTGGCAGTTTGTCTCGTACACCGCCTCGGGCTCCTGCTTCAGCTCGTCGCGGTCGGCATCCTCCTCGAGCTGGGTCATCATCTGCTCCTGCTCCTGCTCGCGGGACCGGCGGCGCCGCCACGTAAAGTCCAACGTGAGAGACGCCGGAGAGCCACACGCGGACGTGGGATTCCTTCCCTGGGCCGTGCGCCGTCTCCCTACTCTGTAGGATGGGGTGCTTGGTTTGTTGTCCCCCCCCCGCACCTCCGATTAGCACGACCGGGTTCTTCAACCAGTGGCTCGTGGGCCAGATGCGACCAGTGAGTGTTCTCGGGCTGGCTATGCGGAGCTATGACCCTAGCGAGCGATGGTGGCTCGCCGAGACATAAAGAGATACAGATTAGTGAGATGATAAAGAGATGGAAAAGATAAACATGAGAGCTGTAGACGAGAGATAGAGATCAGCCATACAAAATAGAGATAAAAAAGACAAGAGGTATAAATACGCGGCCAGATTTACAGACGTTATAATATCATGTGACATAACATGTGACGTGATGTCATGTGGCCCACCAACATTCGCTCACGTTATAATGTGGTCCACTGGAAAATATAGTCAACAAACCTTACTATAGATGCTTTTGGGAATGATGTAGCTTGACAAAACCCGATGGTTTTAACTCCCTACTCAAAAGACTGTGTGCCTCATGTGCTACCCAGATTTTTCTTCATTTTACCCACGTGACTTTACCGAAAGAACCAAAGAGTATGGATTTCTGCAGTCACAAAAAATTCAAATCAAGTTTTAAAAAACTGTTCCCAACTGTCAACTGAGAGAATGAGATAAATGGGAGAATGGTTTAGAAACTTCTAAACTCCCCGTAAGGTTAGCATGGTGAATATATGCTATATCTTTTTTTTACATAAGTAAAAATTCATAGTACGTACATCAGAGCTTCTTTCCAATCACAATAAGCCCCGTCTCTACTCTCTTCAAGAACAAAAAACACTCAAGTCAATTACGTTTCTTACAATAAATATTAGTTACATTTATGAACGAAGCCAATATCTTTAAACACTTCTGCCAACGACCGTATATAGGTCACATAACCAATTTTGGAAATTTTTATATCAATCTGTGAATCAATAAAAAGTTATTTCAATCAATTAAAAACCCACTGACCATAATAACTCCATCTTTTAAAAGGGAATCCTGGTAGAAATACAATGTGAACTGATATACTGTTCACAATCTCTATCATTCGCCGTTTGCTATTTAAGGGGCCTTTTCCCTTGAAAACAGTTTTTGTCTTAATTTAAATGAGTGTTAAACTAACAAACTTTGGGTTCACGTTAATAAATATCTTTTTTGTGTTTTATTTTAAAGGTCGCGTCAAGCAGCTTCACAAGTAAGATAAACGCAGCTGTCCACATGTATTCATACACAACTCCGAAGCTCCGCGCCGTGTTTCCAAGACACTAATCACAGCGCTCAGAGCCTGACCCAGAGCCAAGAGTAAACAGGAAGGCTGCCAGAGCAAGTTCACTCACAAAAAATGAGGCCACAAATCAGAACCCGAGCGTGCAACGATGTTAATTCACCGACCGAAGGGCCACGTGTTTATGTACAACAGCTGTAACGCCTCTCGTTTGTGCTGCAAGCTTGCTGGTGCAGCGCCAAGGATGATGGTTCTGCTGCGTGCTAGTTTATGATTTCCCGTGCCTTGTAAACAGCACCTGCCGCCCATCTCGCGACGCGGGGCTGCCTCACCCAGAGACAACTGAGCTGCAGCTACAGACCCGTGTCGTTTTCCCCCAGACCCGTGCCATCTTCCCACAGCCATCCTCAGTTGGCTTAAGAGCTCCATGAGGAGGTGGGGTGCAGTCTGGACTCTTGAAAACGAGATAAACACGTAATGTCAGAGGTTGTTCACGGTTGTTTGGCAAAGAGTCCAAGACGGTATTCATGGGACACACGCCTGAGGCTAAAAATGCTTCAGAGTATTGCCATTAATAAATACTACATTGTTAAAAGAACACACAATATACTGTACCGTGAACTCATAACGATAGCAAGTGGAAGGCCACGCTGGAAATTCATGCTAAGCAAGGGGGCCAAAGTGGCTGAGGAAAAGTGGTTGAGTGAGAAAGAAGGAAGCAAAGAGAATGTGGAGAAAAGTATTGAAAGACCTTGAGCAATAACAGAGATCAGCCGTCCTCTGGTGCTGGATGACATGCTGCCCGCACGGTGCCTGGCAAAGGCTGCAGCTTGAGAATCGACCTCTTTAGCCACCAATGGCGCCGCATTGTGACTTACAGTCAATGAAATCCTTCAGCGCTGGCACCATCCTTTTACGAGACGGGCAGATGGCATGAGACACACATGTTTGGATAATGGCCATTCTTCTCTTTGGCTCAGCTAGTGTGATGTGCATTATCATGTGGTCAATACAAAATTACCGTCATGGTGGGCTGGAGATGAGGTGGAGTTGTGGGCCGCTGGTAGATGAGTCTCGTGGAAGCCAGTCACACACGTGCCGTTTACCCACCCGACGGTCGCTCCTCTGACACTCACCTGCGTGACGAGTGCAGCCGCCATGGCCGAGGCCTCAATCTTGGCCTTGGTGCGTTTGGTGTGGGCCTGCGGGTCGCCCGTGCTGCTCACAGCCGCCTCGCCGCCCGACTTACTCTGCAGGGTGGCAAGCAGAGGGGCACGGCTTCAGCTACACGTGCCATCCGTGAAAGAAACAGCCACTGTGATGCGAATTTGAATCTTCACGCAGTTGACGCCTTTCATGTTCATTTCTGTCCTCTCATGCTCACACGACACCCATTTTCTTACGTGAAATGTACAGACGGATGCCACTGATGAATAATTTTGATGACTATCTGCTTTCATTGAGTCAGCCCTCTTGAGAGGGAGACGCAGGGCTAACACCGCTGTGTAGGCAGCAGAGCGATGGCCCCCTGTGCTAGCCTGGGACTCTAGAGTGGAAGAGTGGACCGATGGAAGGGGCAGTACCTCCGTGGCGTCGTTCCGGCCTGAGGAGCTACCGGAGCCCAAATGATGCCGCAATGGGGTGTGCGTGGCGGAGAGAGGCGGCAGCGGTGGCGTGTGACCGAAGGACGAGCGCTGCCGGCTCAGGATCTGCTGCAAGGCCATCGGTGTGGGGGCACTCGGGAAGCCGATGGCCGGGCTGGGTTCAGATGCAACCAGGAGGGAAGGGACAGGGAGGGGGACAGACAGCACCCAACATTTTTAGATGCCACAGTGATGGATTGATCGCACGAACGCACGATGGAAAATGGACAAGTGCGGTGATGGAATGGCAGCCAAAAGAAGGGAATACGTCCCAGAGGACGACCGACCCCGGCAGACTTGGAAGAGTTGGATTGTGGGAACGTGGGCACATGAGGTGATAGTGTAAGAAGGCCTTCATCCAGCAATAAATAGAAAAATGTTTCACGATAAGAATCTATCCACCGGCGGTTGGTGGACTACTCATGCCACGACGGTCACGGCGGTTGTTTGATGTTGCTTCACCACGCTGGTCAGTGTGGGTTTTGAGGAAGTGGGCTCAGGGGAGGGGGGGGGGGTATAAGGACCAGTTCAGATATCACTTGCCACCGATGTTAGGCATGGTCGCGAATAAAACTCGGGTCGCAGAGTTCATGGAGCAGTGCACTAACCACTGCACCACTGCCCTCTCCCCCATCATGATGTTGATGGTGATAACTTCAATTGTCTGAAAACATGAAATACGATTAAATGCACCTGTATTTTTTTCTACATCTGTATCGTTAATACATGCGTTAAGCAATGATGTTGAATCATTAGATGCATCTGAACAGCAATTTGCCACAAATACTGACTCGCTGAGATGAAATAACCACACAAGATACACTCCACAATGTGTGTGTGTCTGTCGAATTGTATATTTCAGCACTGCTCTTTCATTTGCATACACAAAAGTAGCCTTTGCGATATGAGATTAAATTCATATAAAAATCTCACAAAAGGAAAATGTTAGACGTGCTCACTGTGAACATTAAATATTTACTCCATCACAAACACAATAATGGACGGTCCTCTTTAAGCGTCTTAAAAACCACGTCAGAGCTGCGTGACCTTTAATACCCAACTTCGGTTTATTCACAATAAATTATAAACGATGTGCTGCGTCCTCGCACGGGGCCCTGTCCCCTGCACCATCTCACCCCTGCCGCTCTCCGTACCGTGACCACATGAGCGCGTATGGTGCAGTGGCGCCGCATCGTTGGCATGGGCTCTGGTGCAAGGAATTAAATGGGCCCCCCCCTGTTCATTTTCGCTCTCCGCCCCCCCCCCCCCCCCCCCCACCTTTCTTCTTAAATCGGTGCCTGGGCCCTTTTAGCCTTCTGGCCCGTGGGCACCGGTGCAGTTGCACACTCGATGGCTGTGCCAATAGTGTGGTTGCACACTCTTGTTATGCAGTGCTTTGGACACCGGATTGGTGAACCATAAATTCGTTAATTTACACCCTCTAGGTTATCCAGATGAGCACCACTGTATTGTCAGCAGTCGACAGTGAACATTCTATGAAGAGACTGGCACCAGCCATAAGAATGTACATTTTCCGAGGATCTTATGGCCATTACTATCAAAATTAGCTCCACCTACCGACTATTTGAGCATGTAGACACGCTGTCCTGAATTGTTATTTTTAAGGCTTTCCAACTAATGTGGACCGTGTTTATGCATTAGTATTGGGCAGGGCACGATAACTGTTGTAAACATGATCCAATATGAGCAAAACTTCGCTCTAAAGTTTTTTGTAGCTTTTAGGGCCGTACCCAATTCAAAACCAGACAAATTGATCAAAGCATCTGAGTCCAAAGGACTATTTGCAAATACGCAAACACATTTTGCTTTGACAGGAACCTGCCGGCTTAAACCAATCTGACGAATATGCATTTTTTTAATTCCCCCATTTTGTTAATGTCTCAGAACCCCATTTCACCTGACAGCGCTGGCCGACAGGTGCCCGTAGGAGCCGCTGGCCGCCGAGCTGCTGCGCGAGCTGCTGAGGAAGGCGAGCAGCGAGTTGGGTGATGAGCGAATCATGGCGTGCAAGTCCAGCCCCGTCTCGGACGCCGGCGAGATAGACAGTGCCCGCTTGCGGCTCAGCCGGGCGCCCCCGACGCCGGCAAACGCCCCTGGTGGACGTGGGCTCGAGTAGCGGGAGGCGGCTATGGGGGGGGGGGGGGGGGGGGGTGTCAAAAGAGGGCATTGATCCTGGCGTCAGCCTCGTCTTCAGCATCCTCACCGTTTTCTTCACGACGACGTCATTGACAAATCATCGAGGTGAGGACAACGTGTACGACCGAGATGGCAGCACGTGTTTGAATGCACCAATAACGATGTATTTGGGTTGGCGACATTGCCTAGCGGTCGTGCGTTCGGCACTTCTTGCAGAGGTCCATGGGTCGATTCCGGAGGTCGCCCCTGGTTAATACTGCAGGTGTATTTAACTGTAAAAAAATACAACGCGCCATCTGCTTCACTGTGGGCGTTAAAGATCCCGTGACATCATTCGCAAGAGTAAGCGTCAATGGTCCGAATTTGCCAAATTTTAAAAGTTACTAGTAAAGTAATGAATTGGAATTGTGTGTAGCAACCTCCTGCTGGAAAAGAGTCATGATACTCAGTGAGGCGTTTATGGGTAAACAAGCTTATAAAAAAAGTTTGAAATTAATAATTACAGAGGTTATTTATTACATTTTTTTTGCCATCAACCAAAAATCTGTCTATTAGTTCACCACGAGGTATTCATTTAAGAGGGCACATGCTGCTGATGAGGCTCCGTGTAGTAAAAGCCAGTGCAGGATTTTCTTTTCTTTTTATTAATAATCATGGAAAACATCATCCACCGCTTGAAAAGAGTACAATTTCCGTAGGGTATTACATTTTGGCAAAACATCCCATGTATTTATTTTGTTACACAGCATCTGCTGAATAAGCATATAGATGCATGCCATGGAGTATTTTGATCCTTTTTTGTGTTCGCGCTGATTAAAACGATAAACTTTCTCTGACAATGAGACACCCACAGCAACATGAATCACACTATCCATTCTGCTCCAGTACATATTGTGGGTTTTCCTCTCCTCTTCCACAGACATAAATATGTAGGATTCTTAAGATTCCAAAAAGCTCAAGGATCAAAGGCAAACTAAAGCCCCCTGCCAAGTAAAATGGAAGACGCTGGACGTATTACAGTGAAACAAGGCAGATAACTTTAACGCTGCTCTGCTTGAGTTGAGTGCATTTTGAAGCACTGGTGTTTTATCCAGTTCGCATCTCATCCTGCCTTGCGTTTTGCCACAGCATTACAAGAGCTACTAATACGCAAACTTTATTTTCAGAGGTTTGTGCGTGTGTTTGTATTGTGGATATTCGACGGCAATTCACGCTTGATCGGAGGCCAGGGACAGTGAATAAGCCTTCTGGTCCCTGTCCAGCGCACGCGAGCATCACTGATTAAATAATATCCGACTGTTTGTACACATGCATGCCGCTTGCTGACTGTGAACCACTGAACCGGGAAGAAAATTTATCTTCCGTGAAATCACCTGTGCAGTCTGCCTCATTAATAAGGCCCGCTCGCGTATTCATAAGCCGAATCAAACCCGGAGAAAAGGGGGGGATTGGAGGAGGATGAAAAAAATCCGCACAGCCATTTCTCAGCGCTGCCCCGTGCATGATTTACGACGGCCTCGCCGCATGTGAGCTCCCGCACCATTAATTTTGCGTAAACCTGCCCGCCTCGGGCCCCCCAAATAAAACCCGTGTAAGCAAGGAATCACCGCAGGCCCACGTGTAAAATGAGCAGGCGCATTCTTTATTCAGATTTAGACGTATTGCCCTGTCAGGAAGGACTGCACTGTGCATTAGGACTGTAGTATTACGCCGGGCGGTAATATCCGAGGAGCAATGGTGTGCAGTCACAAGAACAGCATCCCCTTAGAGCCAACGTTGAATGAAAGCATTCCTCCAGTGACCTTAAAGCAAAAACATCGCCGAGCTTGACAGTGGAAGTAGAAGACAGACCTCCTCTAGCCAGCTGAGAGGTAAATTTATCCCGGTCGTGACGTTAAACCCACGTACGGCGATGTTTTCACTGAAAGATCACTGTTCAGGAAGCGAGCGGAAGCCACTTCAACTATCCTTCCCTCGTCTGGTTCAAGAACCCAAGTGTTGTATTTAGAAAAAAATGATTGCAAAAAGCCATATATTATTTATGACACCATTAAAGGCATGTTTTATGTATTTGGCCTAAATATTGATGCATCAAACACAGCACTGTGCTTCGTGTTTATTATTGCTCACGCATCAAAATGTGAAATGTTGTTTTTTAATAGGATCAAGGATTTGGTTTCAAGGCCATAAGTCCGTAACTGCCATCGTCACCTCGTGCCAAAGCCAAGAGACGTTTACCAATGGCTGGGCGCCACGTTGAAGATTTCACTGTCGGCAAGTCCGCCTAGGGACTGGCCTCATGTTATCCCAAAACGCAATGACCAATGGAGAACTGACCACCGGTTCCAGCTCCACCCATGAACCAAGATGTACAAACAAAATTCTGCTCTCGACACCAGCTGGATCGTGGCTGTTGGAATCTGTTGTCGGCAGCAAAATAGTCTGCCAAAATGCTGAGAGATTCCTTAGGGATCGAGGAAGAGGGAGGGCCACTTGGCGAAGGTGTTAGAGGGGAGGGGTAGTTTTTTGGGGGGGGGTGTGTGGCAGAACAGCTGGGTGGATATCCTCCACGACCAAAAATACTTTGTTAACATTCACGCCGAGGTGTCGGCCAAAATCGATGCCCTGACACTTCTGCCCATCCAGCTGTCAGCACGAGGGCCACTCTGTGCCGATGCACCAAGAGACGACATAATCTCTATCTTCTCGCAGCTGTTCACTACACCGCATTGTTTAATGGACCTTTCACCAGAGGCTTGTACTTTGTTTTTTTTTTTCCGGCCAACTCCTGTTTTACAGGCACAGACTACAAGGAGATCTCCAACAAATGCCAATTTAGTCTATAAAATTGTACAATTTGATTAGTTTTCTTTTTTCACTTGAGGCATTAGAAACTTGTACAAATCTTAATAATTTAGTGTTTGTCATGTCAGATATTTTATTTTTATTATTATTAAAGGTTGATGGAAATGCATTTAAATAAATGAGCGTAAATAAGTGACAACATATCTTGTCTTGGTAACGCATTTCGTCAAGGGGCACCAGGCAGTCGACGTACTGTTGCATAAAACCCCGCAAGCGATTACACTGATTTAGTTTCCCTTTGGTCAGCTTTAAATACTAACGGAGGTGTTTTATTCAACTGATTGCTGCCGAGGACTACTGGCGAAAACCTGGGGCCTACCGTCGAGGTGGTGCATGTAGTCAAGGGGCAGGCCGGTGGGACCCAGGGACGGGTGGGGTGGCAGCATTCCCGTTGAGTAGGCCGGACTCCCATGGCTGGCCATGAGCGCCAGGTGCTGGTAGTACTCGGCTGAGGCGGCGCCAGGTGGCGGCGTCGGGAAGGTGAAGGCCCCCCGCTCTTTTAGGGCCTCATGGGAAGCTGAATAGGCCACAAGGGAGACAGGGCAATGGGACGACGATTTGGTGAGGTTCAGGGAACCCACACAACTTGACTTCCTGACATCTGAACAATAACAAAGCTGGTGGTGATTAACATGGGCCAATGTTATTAAACAGGTATGAAACTAAAAATGTGCAGATAACATTAACACTTGTGATTTTAAATTTAAATATTAAAAAAAAACATCGTTACATGTGTGTATTAAAATAATGAAGAGATTGACCACAACTTTATCTTTAGCTGGATACAGATTTACCGGATACAATTCCGCTTGACAGAGAAAAGACCTTGGCCATGTTTTTGACTGGTGTGTATGAAGACAATTAGGACGCCTGTATTTCAAGGTATTGGAATAAAAAGCCACTTTGCCATGAACATTGTCTTCACAGCACTTTATGAAGTTTTGTGCGCAGAATAAATAAAAATGTTCATGTTGCAGTAATGAGACAATATTAATCGTATTTCTTTAAAATACTACAGGAAGCAACGGCAAATATCAACAATCACTTGATGCGTCGCAGAAAAACCGTGGTCATTAAATGTGTATTCAAGGCATCAATGTCGTTAAAGCTGACTGCTAAACTACTGGCATGCTTTATTTATTTAATAAAGCATTAAGGTGGATTTTAATCACTGAACTTCTGGTAGTCACTTTAAGTTTATTGTTATGGTAATTTAGCAAGTTATAAAATTAAACCACGAGCTTTTATGATAAATAATTCACTGTCCTGAAAATTACATGAACAGTTAAAACTAAAAATCCTTTCCCTTGGGAAATATACATTTTTGGGTGTGTGAAAGCACATATTCTTCTGTGTTTCACATTTACAAATGCCAACTGTAGCAGCCAATTGCGGGGCCTGCCTAGCTCATGCACTTTATTAGGGGTCTGACAATACTGGGATTTTGTTCACCACGTCAAGAACTTTGATGAAAAGAAGTAGCAATAATAGCGTGACAGGAACACATGGTCGAATGGGGCTCTGGTCATTTTTTTATTTGAAAACAATACAAACTACACCTCTCGGAAATAAAACATCCTTGCCTGATGTATATGTTGGTCGACAGGACGTCTGTGCCGGTAGTCGGCCTCCTTGTGTTCCAGCGCAATATTGAGCATTCACTGCCAGCACACAAATCGGGCCAAACATCTCGGTGACCCAGCAGCACAAGCTCAACCGAGTGGCAGGACACATACTGCAGGATGGTGGCAGCATGGTAGGGTTGCCACCAGTCCCCGTTTTCTCAAGACCTGCTCTTTCTGAAGTAGCTGTCCTGGGTAATTTGTAAGTCTTCCTGGAACATTAAAAATCCTAGTTGTCAGACACCTAATGATATACCACTCAAAATACTACATTTGACTACGGTTATTTCCTCTTCTAGTGAAGTGAGATATTCTTCTTTCCATGATATGTCCTGGGTTTGTGTCCAAGAGTTGGCAGCCTTAGAGCGTGCATTGCTGCGTACCTTCGGCAGGGCTGAGGCCCCGGGCAGCCGAGATGACCGACAGGGAGGGGCTGCTGTGCATGGAGCGCAGGTATTGCTCCACATACGGGCTGACGAACGCGTGCGCGTGTGCGTGCGCATGCGCGTGGGCCGGGCTGAACGGGGCCTCCAGCCCCGAGACTCCGTGGTGTGGGGAGAATCTCACGTCCGAGATCGCGAGCCTTGACGAGATCATCGGAGGGCTGTGGGGCAATGCAGGGCAAGACGCACAACGAACATGGTTAACGTTGTCCCAACCTCCAACTCTATCGACAGCGTGGTACAAGCAAAGGCTCTCTCGGGGAGAATGTCTGGTCAAACTCGGCAAAATGTCTGACTCCCGTAGCAGCCCCTCATAAATCCCACCTCACGCTGTTCCCAACACTTTCTCGCTATGGCTCCTGCCTTTAGAAAGATGGAGCGCCGGTTCTGTTATCTGTCAAACCTGTGCCAAATGGTTCAGAGGGAGAGGCAAAGAATCCCAACGGTGGGCGCTGCTCCCTGGTGTCCTGGGGCAGGTCGCAATCCCTCAAAAGTGCAAGGATAAAATTGCTTGCCACTCTGACCAGTAAGATCTGCCTGGATACGAGGAGGGTTGTTTATTTAAAATTGACAGGGAAGGCATAAAGAAACAAACGCTGCCTCACAAAGGCAATCATCAGGGGACTGAATTACTCTTACACTGCAATTCAAAAATCTGGTTCAAGTGTTGTGCAGAGAACACTCTGAGCGGAGAATAATGAATAATGTTTAATGAAACATGACACATAAAATGCAAATGCCCTTTACGTTTACACAGATCAAAAACGTGGTAGTTTTTTTACAGCTCCAAACACGCGGGCACACTTTAACTCAGAGCAGTCTGATGGGCCTGGTGAGTGTGCACATAGGTATTTACAGCACAGTTGCTCCCAACAACTAATCCAGAATAAGCCCCAAGACATGCGACTGTGGGCCACATTACAGCAGCATTTCTCCCCTACCACATCCCACACAGCACGCTCGTAGTTGCTCATAGCTGACGCATATAAGCATTCACTGATGGATTACTCTGGCCGTTATTAGTCCCAGGATCAATGACCTAAAGAAACCTGCCAACGTGACAAAACTCTCCCCGGCACGATCGTCTCACGTTAGCGCCACGTCCTGTAAGCTCCACTGCCTCTTTTCAGATTTCTCACAATCTTGTTTTCATAACCACCGCTTAGCGGACTTCAGCCTTGGTTTGCATTTTTGTTCCCCCCGCTTTTGCCATTTCGCGCACACCAAAAAAAAAAGCCCACGGTCTCGGGCGTCAAGTAATACGAGGTGACATTTCTGGTCACGGCGAAACTCGCTTAAGGTCCCGAGTCAAGGCGCCTTTGTGTTTGCTGTGCCACTCCGTCCCCAACCGCCGGCCCGTCCGCCCGCCCGCTTTGCCCCCGTGCCGCTCGCAGCACGAGAATGAGAATGCGACCTCCACCGTTGGGGGGGGGGGGGGCCGGGGGGGGGGGGCCCCGGGTGTTGTTTTGACAGTCGCAGATTAACACGCACAACCTGCCGCCTCGCGTAGCTGTACAGTGCAGCGGCCAGGAGGAACCAGCAGTTAGTTGGTGGATTACAGCAAGAACATTTATTTTATTTTTATTGACTGTAATTTACTTTCGCCAGCCCCCCCCCCTTTTAACAAAGGCAATACTTCGCACGTTCAATCCAATTAACGTGAAATATTTTCCACGCGCATATCTTCTGTAGTTATAAAGAACCTCCTCGTAAGTTACGTCGAGCTGACAAATTGTGGGTTAAAAAGAGAAATAGGATGAAAAAACGTAAAATTATGCTTTTGTCCAACTTGAGGCAGGAATAAAACGTCTGCAGGAAATTCCGTCCCCCGCCGCGCATCTCAGAATCAGAATATTTATTCATACTGGGGGAATCTGATGAGCTATAAAGCTCTTTTTCACGGATGTTCAGTAGATCTGGCGGGGTGCGAGGCTGTGGCCTTTCTCCCGTGAGGCTGCATGAGCACTTTCTGTGGAACTGGCGTGACCTGCAGGAGGGAAGGAAAGAATTTTTGGAATGATGTGGGCAGGGCCAGATGTTGAGGAGATAAGTCCCCTTCAACTGGGAGGAGATTGCTCGAATCATCAAAATTCCAAACTTTACACTGTCCAGGGGAAAAAAAATAAACGATAAGAAAATATCAAAGCAATGAAAAGCGATATGTAGTGTACATTTACAACTTTCATTCGATGCAATTGTGTTGTATTTCTCATACTTAAAGCTTGCTGAATCATATAGCAAAAAAAATTCCGAAATTCATGAATACAGACAATGATACATTTTCTTTGACTCAAACAAATCGCTCTCAGGAATCTGAGAGTAAGAGTGACTTGTTACCTTGCATGTCCCTACCTCTGCCAGCATTCTTATACTTTGAATAAAGCAGCCCTCAAAATGCCCGTCTTCTTTTCGGGCGATGTTTCAAAGCCCCCCGCGGCCCAGCCAGCGGCTGCCCCCACTCTGTGGCCTCAGGCCTTCCTTAGAGTCGGGTAATTCAGCCCCATCCCCCCCACCACTCCTCACGCAAGTCCCCCAGCCCCACTCCCACCGACCAAGGTAATTTGAGAAAAGAGTGACGCAGAGCTCTGATCCGTCCATCCCTCCTTCCTCATCTGCCCGTGACGAGATGCTATCTGAGGAGGGTTTTACACTCAAACCCCGGTTTAGTGGGATCCCCACCAACCCTCCCCCCAACCCGCTCTCCCTGCCAATGTTCTTCTCTCCCACTCCCAAACTCCACTCCAACAGAAACGAAAACAAAAAGAATGTGTTTGAGTCTCTGTTTCTCGTTCGAGGGGCTCAGTGAGACACTTCCACAAAAAGAAATACTCTGAGGGGAAAATATCCTCACAAGCTATACAAGGAACCATCGTTTATGTTGTGGTGGAAAGGTCACCAAATAAAATTGGTATTTATTTAATAATACGTTTTTGTTGGACAATGTTTACAACAGAATAATTTCCATTTTGTCCTTCACTCATTTCTCTTGTTGATTCCAGAAGGTTGTCTTCTCTCTCTTTTTTTGCATTCCGGCATATAAAATGTAACACAATACCCACACACACACACACGCGCGCGCGCGTGCGCACGTGCACGTGTGTTTCTCTCAGGAATGCAATTCTTTAACAAGGCAAGGAGGGAAAAAAACAGTGCGAGTTTGTAGGTGCATGCTCATTTAAGTCCCACATGTTAATCGTTTTTCTTGCCGCCACATGGGCCACATGAGTGTCTGCGTGTCTCACCGACATCAACACCCGGACTTTGATAATTGCAACTCCATGAGCAAAAGCTATTTAAACATCCATTTTTTTTACTGGATGTACAAAGATGTATGGGTGTTTACCAAACACACATTAGACGCAAATTTCAAACTCAAATATTTTCTTGTGGAAAATCGGAAAGCGTTTATTACCTTCATCTTGTCACCCTGTAACTTTGCACGGGGTTGAAGACCGAATGCATAAATGGCTCACTCTTCAATTCCTTCAGGAGTCTGATTTATACGTGTGGGTATAAGCCATATTGATTAAGGAGCCAATGGAGTTGTGCTCACATGCTTTTGGGGGGAATGTTATTGATCACCCCGTGCCCAACAGAGGCGTTAAAACCGCGGACAGCTTGTCCAAGCCAAGCAATGGGTGGCGCACGGTGGTAGGGGCTCTGTGGCATGTCCGTGCACCCACTCAGCTGCATGGCAGGGGAACAGAGAGAGGGGAGGCCACCCGCCCGCGCTGTCTGCATTATCTCCTTGAAGAGCAATGGGCGCAGGTTTGGATTAGCCGAGAATGTGTTCAGATAAACTCATTGGCGCACGCTTCCTTTTATGAGACGCATGAAAGAAAATGATGACAGCGAACTGACCCGGTCTTTGGAGTGGGAGTAGAGGAACGTTGTTTCATGTGGTTGAATTTGTATTTTTTTTTAATGCTGTTGAGTTTTAAGAATTTTGCTTACAAAACAAGCGAGTCACTGCAGGGATGTGAAATGTTCGTTTCCATCATTTATCACTCCCCAGACATTTTGTGCATTGCAAACGTATCATTACAATTGTGATGGATGGGTGCAGAAGTCTGGGAATGGCTTTGAAAGCATTTGCTGTATCCATGTGCAAGTCAAGGAGAGGCTCCGGTGCAGGACAAAATCCCTGCTGAGCTTATCGCTCCGCGAAACCGTTTAAGTCTCTTTCTCAAGACAGTATCGCCTCAATACATGACCGGCATCTTTTTGAGCCGAACCTCTTCGCCGCACAATAAATCACGCACGGGCAGCAAATATTCTCAATGCGTAAAAAGGTGCAGGGTGTGCAGGCAAACGCTAAAACCACTTGTCCCTGCTTGCGCTCCATGTGCCGCAAATGGGTCGGCGGGGCCTCACGACGGGCGCGGAGGAACCGCCCTCCCGCTATCGAAGCCGGGAAGGCGACGCGCCTTGGCGACCGGACGCCCGCCATCTCTCCACTATTTTGCCGAACAATGCCTCAGCCGCCGAGTCGTCCCCGATCACCCGGTCTGATTCGGTTAGCGGTGCACGGGCGGCACGTGGGATGCGAGTGGAGGCTATCGGTCCGAATGAGCGCCATTAATCACGGCGCGCAGGGCTGTTAGGTGTCCCTTTGTGGGGCTGCTCTGTTCCCTGTCAAACCCCGAGGCTGTGGCGGCGGTGGCGTTATCGTGCCCCCCCCCCCCCTCCTCCTCTCGCGCACCTAAACAGCCGGCGTGATGGATGGCCGCGGGCTCCTGGCCGTGCGAGGGTGTGCGTCACTCTCCAGCACATTGCATTACTGGCACCGACGCCGGGATGTGGGGAGGATCGCTGCCTCTAATCTTCAGAAAATTTTGAGTGCTTGGAAAAAAAGAGGTTTTAAATGTTTTATATTTTTTTGCTGAGCTTCGAAATCGGCCGAAGGAGAACATTATGGCAACTTTCCGCCATACTTTTAAGCATATTGCAGAAGTTTGTTTTTGTGTCCAGCCACTTTACGTTGCAGCGGGGTTGCTGGAGTTGTACGGCCATCCCCTCGCCTCCGATTGGCACGGTTGGCTACATACGGTGCAAAAGAAGTTCAACATGCAGCACATACATCAGGGATGGGTGCTTGGGTGAGCACAGGGCTCTCCCAGCTGGGGATTCTGCCATCAGACATATTTGTGGGTGGGGTAAAAATGCTTAGTTGAAATCAAATGTTTTGTAAATGTCAATTTTCAAGATATATCCACAATCCCGGTGGGCTTTGCATTTCATGCATCATTCAAAAAAGAATCAATAAAATGTCCACAAAATTCAGACTCCGCACTTGACATTGAGTCTTAAGCAATTTTGAAGCTGCAGTTATTTTTTTTATTTAGAAAAACGTATTTGAATTAAGTGCAGATTTTAAAAGTAATGCTTTATCATTCATCCTACCCTAGGGTTACACTATATTTAAACATGTTTTTAAGGTGGGAAAGCATATTCAATTACCCGACGCATATTTATGCAAGAATAAAAATAAATTGCTACAGCTAAAAAAATAATTATCCCAAGCATGGAGTGACAAAAAATATAGCCGTTTCTAGCGCTCACGCCGATTTAAAATAAACGTCGACTCGCAGCCGCTGCCACAGAAACAGCGCCAGCGGCAGCTGCACAAACCCCAGAGCATGTTCGACGTAACGAACATCATTAAATATTTGTCCACAAAGTATGCCCACTGAGCGAATGATGCACTGCGCTGTTAATAAGGAGCTTCCCTGTGTTGACAAACGTAGGGCCGAACATGCCATATCAGTGATACTACTAACACCAACACATCGTTGAAAAACTACAGTCAATATACTGTTCGTGTAAGATGCTGATATTTTGGGAAATGGCTCTATCCTTAAACGCTCCTTTATTGTTGTACATGTTTAATGAGGTAGAGTTGGTCATTCCTGCTGTAGGACAAGCGGCCGAGCTGCATCCACTGCCACCTTTACCCGCGACACCCACAGTGGCTGTGCCCCCCCCTGCCCCCCCCCCTCCGCCGTCGTAGCGCTTACCCATGCAAGGGGTGGAGGTGGGGCGGCTCGAAGTAGTAGCGGCCCTCGTGGTGGCGGCTGTCCAGGGGGATCGGCGGGTGGAACGCCGGGAAGAGCGGGTGAGGAGCGGCTGCACAACAACAAGAGATGGGGGGGGGGGGGGCAGGCAGTGAAGGGGAGGTCGGATGGGGGGGGGGGGTTTCAGCGCTAAAGCTTCAAGTGCTGTTGTAGTTAATTATCACCAACGAAGCCAACGGCACGTCGACCGAGTCCAAGCACAATTCAAGCCAGTAAATACACTCAGGGGGTGATGAAACAAGATGCAATGCAATACAATGTGGGTTTATAGCACGTCCTCTACTTGCACCCGCATCTCAAGACACTGCACAGAAACAGTAGGACGTTTGCATCAATGGGGGAAAGGAGGCATGTTGGTTTGTTCCTGCAGATTTGACACATTTTGGAAGGGAACGAGCACTCACACACTTTTCGATTTAAAGCTTTCGTGACTGCAATGATTCATCTTCTTTGGTTCTTTCGGTAAAGTCACGTAGAATGAGAATAAAATAATAAATTGATAAAATAAAATAACACAATAATATTCTCACGACGTTTCGGCCACAACACAAGCGGCCTTCATCAGGTGAAGGGACGAGACTGTCTGGTAGGACAGCGCTGGAGGCGGACGCGCTGAAAGCGCTGCCCGCCGCCCTCGACGACGACGTCTTGGCGGCGTTCCTCGCCATCCCGCCGTCCGAGAGGTCCACCCTCACGCAGGCATTTGACCAGATGGCCACTGTTTTCGAGCCACCGCTGAACACCCGCCAGAAGTTCGCCGTAAGACGTAAAGGGGATGGTGAGTCGGCTCTCGCCTACCGAAGTGCGCTCTTGGCGCTGGCGAAGGCCACGTTCCCATGAATGGACCACGACGGCCTTGACGCCTTGGTCCTCGAGAAGATGTTGGGAGTCGCGAAGGACCTCCATACTGTGCTCCCCACCGAGGACGGTGAGGTGTCTTCACTCAAGATCGCCAGGTGTATACAGGCGCAGCAGAACCTGCAGAATGACAGGGTGTTGGTGGCGTGCGCTACGTCTTCCACGGAGCCTGGGGCCCACACAGATGAGGAGCCTGCTCCTGCATGCTCGCTGCACCAGTAGAGCGGCATTCGTCGGGGTGACGGCGGCCGGACGACCGGCGGCGGGCGATGTCTGCATCATCCCAGTCCAGCAGTGGACGGGTCGCCTGCTACGACTGCGGCCTGCCGGGGCACGTCCAATCGGGCTGCCGGGTTCCCCGACGGCGGCCCCCGGAATGTCCGCCTTCCAACGACTCCCTGCTTCCTAAGGCGAGTCATGGCGCATCCCACACTCGGCCCTGGGGATCACTTCACCCATCAGGGGGTCCGATTTGCGTCAGGGTCGCGCGCGGGTTCGGGGGGAGTCGGTGCATGTTCGCAACGCGTGGCCGCTCCGACCGGATCAGTATTCGGAGCTGGCACATCGAGTGGTTGTTGTGGCCGCGGGATTGTCGGCTGTGCTTTGGTTCATTGAGGGGGTTGAGGTTCGCATGCTGGTTGACATCGGCACGTCTTCAACCATTATTTCCGACCTCATTTACAATATTTTGCCCCCCTGGTGTCGGGTTTTGGAGCCGGTGGATGCTCCGTGTTTCACCGCCAACGGCAGATTGTTGGGGATAATCGGTCGAATAACTGTTGAGTTGCGCATTGCCGATGTTAAATTGTCGGGTCATGTTTTGGTTTCTACGGTCCTGGCTGTTCCATGCTTACTGGGGACTGATTTCCTCTGCAAAATGCCCCTGAAGATTTGTATCGACCAGGGCTGTTTGGAATTGCTGTCGGAGCAGCGTATGGCATTTCTCCCGTCTCCGACCCGCATGTGTTCTGCTAAAGCCACGGTGCAAGCGCTTGCGTGCCGAACGGTGCGGATTCTGCCCGGCGCGCAAATGTTGGTGCCCCTTCGATTGCGTAAACCGCTCGATGTGCGCGCTGAGGGGACGGTATTGTGTTGGGTCCCTAAAATAAGCTTCGTTGGAGGATGTCACTTATAGCGGCTCAGACGCTGGTGTTCTGGGACCAGGAACCTTTCATACAAGTCCTTAATGCCGGGTCGGACACGACGGTCATTCAGGAGGATTCTGTGCTTACACATGCGTCTCCGGCTTGTCCGGAGAAGGATGTTGTGGGGAATGTCGGGGTCGGCGTTCAGGCTCACAGACCTCGGGAGGTGGATGAGGGCTGGATAGATGGACTGTGCTCTGAATGTGGCGATTTATCTGGGGGACAAATGGGGAAGCTGAGAGTGCTCCTGCGGGAATTTTCCGACATTTTTAGTAAAAGTAAATTTGATATCGGTCGCGCGTCCCTTTTGAGCCACCATATTGACACAGGAAATGCCGCCCCGATTCGGCAGAATCCTTACCGCCTGAGCTCGGCCGAAAAGGAACATGTTCAGGCGGCGGTTGATGAGATGTTGGCCGCAGATACCATCTAGCCATCCACCAGGCCATGGGGTGCTCCGATCGTACTTGTTAAAAATCACGACGGCAGTTTGCGGTTGTGTTGATTTCCGCAAGCTTAACAAGGTTTCTGTTGTGGATGCATACCCCTTGCCTCGTATGGACGATTCATTGGACACTTTGGCGGGCGCGTGGTTCTTTTCCACCCTTGACCTTCTGTCAGTCTTTTGGCAGCTGCCGCTTGACGAGGTTTCAAGGCCCAAGCCGGCTTTTAGAACACCGCAAGGGTTGTTTGAGTTTAACTGGCTTCCGATGGGGCTCCACTCCACGCCGACCACCTTTCAGCGTCTAATAGAGTTGGTTTTAGCGGGCCTCCAGTGGGATTCATGCCTAATATATTTGGATGATGTCATTGTTTTTGGTCGCACGTTTGATGAGCATTTGGATCGCCTGTGGGCTGTTTTCATTAAGATGCATGCGGCCGACCTGAAATTCAACCCCCAGAAATGTCACCGACTCCAAAAATCGGTTCGATACTTATATAGTTAGCGAATTGGGCATCGCGACAGACCCGGAGAAAACTGCTTGCGTTGGGACATGGCCGACCCCCACCTCGGCCAGCGAGTTACACAGTTTTATCGGCTTTGCCTCTTACTATCGCCGATTTGTCGTGGGTTTCACATCTATTGAAAAACCTCTCCACGCATTGACAAATAAGGGCCAAAAATTTAATTTTGGAGGAGGAGGAAGCTGCGTTCTGCTCCATTCGTCGTGGGCTAGTTAACGCCCCGACTTTTCGTTGCCATTCATTTTGGGCACGGACACCAGTAATACCGGCATTAGTGCGGTGTTATCCCAGGTTGTCAATGGCGTTGAGCACGTGGTCACATATTGTAGCAGGGTGCTGTCTCCTGCCGAGCGGCGGTACTGTGTAACGCGCCCTCAGGTCAATTGTCACGCTGGCTTGAAATCCTGCAGGATTTTTCGTTCCAAGTTACATATCGTAAGGGTTCTCGGCATATGAATGCCGACACCCTATCGCGATTGCCCGTGGACGTTGTCGACCAGGCCGGGTCGAGGGGACGCTTGCAGGCGGAGGACGCGTTTCTCCTTAAGTTGCACTGGCGTGTTAGGGAGACCGCCGGTGGCACAGCTCCACGAGGTGTCACCTTGTTTGACCTGCGGGGCAGGCTGCTCATGTATTGGGACGGAGCATTGCGCCGTTATGCTATTGTTGTCCCTACCGCCCTGCGTGGCGAGGTTGTATGGGCTGTGCATAAACGATTGTTGCATCTCGGAGTGCAGAAGACGCTGGCCGCTCATAAATTGAATTTTACTGGCCGGCCATGGCCTCCGACATCGAGGATCTGTTTAACGGCTGCGTATAATGTGCCCGGGGGAAGCCGCCAGCGAGATCCTGTTGCCCTCCGCTGCAATCCATCCAGGTGTCGCGTATTAACGAAATTGTTGCCCACGATATTCTCGGGCCGTTTCCTACTTCCGAGCATGGAAATAGGTACTTGCTCGTAGGCGTTGAGTATTTCTCATGCTGGCCTATGGGCTGGCCGCTCCCGAATCAATTGGCTGTGACTATTACTGAGGCGTTCCTCAATGGCTATGTTCTGGATAAGGGTGCCCCCAAGCGCCTCTTGACGGATCAAGGTAAAAAAGAATTCATCCAAGCTGCTGCATGAGGTTTGCGATTTGCTGGGGACAAAAAAGTACGCACGTCACCGTACCACCCGCAAACAGATGGAATGGTCGAATGCCTACACCGGACTCTGACCTCCATGTTGAGTCACTTGGTCAGCGAGTCACAGGTCAATTGGGACTTGCATATTCTTGCGTTTCTCGCCGCTGGCTACTCTCCCTTCTTTTTTATGTATGGGAGGGAGTATGATCCTCCCATCGATGTGCAGTTATAAGCTGCGCCTGCCGCGAAAGTGTCCAAAATTTCTGATTCGGTTCGTTTCACTCTTGTCAAATTTTCCAAGGCACAGGAAGCTGCCAGTGTTAACTCCTGGGCCAGACAGTTGGCCAATGAGCGGCTCAAGGGAGCCCGTGTTTCCCTGTGCGATTGGACTCCGGGGGACAGGGCCTGGTTGTGTTTCTTTTCTGCCCCCAGGCGCCGTGCGATTGATGCCTCGCACGCGGCCGCTCGTGTCGGCCTCGCGTGCTCTGAACGTGAAGGACCCGATGACCCGGCCTACCGCTCTTCGTGAGGAGCCGGCTTCGTCGGGTCGAATTTTTGTTCCCCCCAGGCCTTCCAGGGCGAACAAGCCCAACCCGCCTGGAGGCCCGGCGTCACGGACTCGCTCAAAGACTCGATTCGCATGATCCCCGCACATTGCACACTCCCACGCCGTCATGGGTTGTCGCGCTCGCATGCGTCGTGGCGAGTATTTGGCTGGTCCTGCTCGCCATCGAGCTCATGGGCATTGTTACACGTTGTGGGTGGGAGATGTTGACTGCGGGGACCTTGTGTGACGTGCTTGTTGGATTGTTATTTGTTCGCTGTTGTGTTTTTTTTCCCTCTTTCCCTTTTATCTCAGTGTAAAGTTGTACAGTTGAGTTTGGGTAATTTATTGCGCTGTTATGTTATTGTTGAAGCACACTTGCTTGTTATTCTTTATATATGTACGTCGGTTGCT